AACCAATCAATGTTGTGTAATTAACAAGGATAATCTGGTGTTTTTGAGTTGATGAGTAGTGCAGATATCACTGTAAAATCAATCGACAGTAAGGAGAATAGTTACTTCCGGGTGTAAAATCCTCCGTTATCCAATGGGAATGGATGCTCACATTGCCTTTAAACAGCCGCCGTCATAAACGGATGCGGTGCTTCCCTGAGCGTCAAATACCGCCGCCGATGGGAATACATTGCAATCAGTTGAAAGCTCTTTGCGTCCGTTTATGAAGCTGAAGGAGCCTCGGCGCGTCCCAACTGCACGCCACGGGACCCTGACCAAGCGTCGCTCCTGGACGTTTAGGGAGTGAGAGTGTGTTGCCCTGGTTGGTAATAGACGAGTTGGGATCGCGGAGAAATGCTCTCCGCAGACCCATTCTCACAGCGTTTATAAACCTTTTTCTTACTCAATATCAAGCCACACTTATTGTTTTTACTTCGGCTGTGAGTGTTTGTGTGTGCTCAGGATGAGTTTTGCGCTGTCTCGCTGTATCGCTGACCCGGAAACCACACCAGTAAGCCAGCTCACGGAGCAGCGAGCCTCGCAACGTCCCGACCAATCAGAGCACACTGGGCTCACAGGGAGGGGGGGCCAGGAGCTCCAACAAGCCGTTTAGGACAGAGAGTGAATACCGGTGAATACACATACTTTACAGAGATGCTGTATGAGAAACCAATGTGAGTTTGGAAAATTGCACAATATAAATCTATTTTAGTATACCTCAACAATGGAATTATGATCAGTAGAAATGGCCATGACATGGGACCTTTAAAACTCTGTCAAAGAATCAGTTAACGCACCACATCAGAGAGTCATATTGATGGTGTACTTCATAAGTGTTCAAAAATGATTGCTCCCACACATTACAGTTCATACAACATGTTTATTTAACTGGCTATAGATGAGAGCAACCCATCCGGGTACTTTCCCTCTATGTTAGGCCCCGCCCCTTTATGGGTGAAAACAGTTGCTGTCATTGGACTGACTGGGTCCCTTTGATTATGATCTCCGTGCTCTCTGTGGATGGCCTGATGCCACAGAGATGACCTTTTATCGTCCTTTTCTCTAAGTAAAGGTATACAAAAATGTGAACTCTGGATCTTTTGTTGTTTGTTGGCAATACAAGACACAGCAGCTTTAAGGCATTATAAAACAATTGTTTCCGCTTGGCGCCAATTCTTAGGCGCCGTTTACACGAGGAGAAAACTGCTTGTATCTGCATAGTTTCGCGTGCGTATAGCCCTATTATTTACACGAGGCCGATAGAAACTGACCCCACAAACGATAACGGGTCCCAAGGTGGATAGATTTGCAAACGAAACGCTCTGGGGGGTCAACAAGTCCGTGTAATCACCTCTATACGAATATTTCCTGAAAAAATAGCGTAAGCCCCACCTCTCCCCACCTCTCCTGCTCACTGCTGTAGCAACTATCAAGAATAGCTGTGTTAATTAAACGCACAAGGGGTTCTTGAATGAAATAATATTATAAAAGGCAAACCAGAATTGTTAACGCCCAATATACTCCTTAAACAAAATAAACAGAGTCAGATTTCATGCATTGATCCATTATATTGACAAAGGTGCGATCTCACCCGGTGTTTGTAGAGAATATCTCTCTTTCTGAGCCGTCCTCTCCACAGAGACGTGCTTCTTGGTCGGTCGATGCAATATCCACAGATTCGGTTTCTTTCAGTTAACTTCCCCGTTGCATTTATCCATATGCTGAGGAAATTACTATATCCCGCTGAATACCAGCAATCGCCACACACTTCCTCCTGTCAGTAGCTACTGCTAGTGCTACTGCTACTGACCATGCTACAGATATTAGTGCAAAATCTACAGCTCCTCTACCACAACCATCAGCAACAAGTGGACATGGAGAATTACATGAACTACATGTTGCTAAATACACCGCGGCGCTTAAACAGAAGGGTAGCCATGGCAACATTGCAGCGGGGCTGCTCGGGCTGCTCTTCTTCGCGGCTTTTGGTGTATTTTGGCGGAAGTTACAGCGCCACTTACAGTCCCGGCATATGTACTACAGCGTTTCCAGCGGCCTCGTTTGAACAGACACGTTAAATGAAACGAATGCATGTGAACGGAAGACTTTTTTGAATACGCATACTGTGCATAAACGCAAACGGTCCCGTGTGAGCGGGGCCTTAGTTTTAACCCGGACTGTGGGCGGGGCCGTCATTTCGCCAGGCAGTGACGTAGTGCTTCTCTCCTTGTCGTGGATATTTTAACCTCGTCAACACTGTAAAGATGTACAATGAGAGTAATCAATAATAAACTGGTGAAAGCAAACAGAGTTGTCTTGTTGGTTCTTTATACAAGCTTGTAGGTACAGGTCATGCAAAATACAAAGTGGTTTGCAGGAGTGGACATAGGGGCAAATGTGTGTGTGCGATTTAGGCTGCCTTTACACGAGAACGAAACGGGTTGTATCCGCATAGTTTCTCTTGCGTATAGCCCTTTCATTTACACGAGGCCGTAACAAAACGATAGAAACGGACCCCACAAACGATATCGTCTCCTTAGTGGATGTGTCTAGTCTGACTAAGCCCGTGCCTTCATGACCATATCAATTAAACCCCACACAATGACGGCACAGACAAGGAACCAGAGGCATATGAAAAAGCACAGCTGGCCCTCGCCTATGATTCTTGTGTGTGGTACTAGGGTGTATGTACTGCGTGTGTGGTGCTCAGTGACGTGCGGTGAGGTTCATGGCTGGTGAGGCACTGACTCTTTCAGAGTCAGATTTACAAATATTATATTTTGACCTTAATCGAAATATTCGGTTATTTTCAAAAGCTTTTTTAGTCTGATGCTTGGATTCATTTTAAACAGATCGTTCAACAAAAGGATACCCAAAATCTAAATATTGGATTGTTCTTTCTTAGTAATATCCCATTTTCATTACAATGTGGTCTTACCTTGACTTGAAGATGAAGTCCATGCTATCCTTCTGGACAACAATCTCTATTAATTTTTTGTAAAAGTCCTCCTTATCTTCCTGTAGTTTCAAAAGTCTAGTTTGTTGTTTGCGTCTACCGTCTCTGCGTAGAATAACAGTAGCAACAAGAACCTGTGGGCTCACGTGCGCCCCCTTCAGTGCGGCAGAGGTTATGGCTGCCTCCCCTGGTGCTTTTTTCATTGCCGTTGTATGATGAGACCAGCGAGCCTAAATATCATATCTATGTGAAATAAGTTATTTAGAGAATATGGATGGCGAGGATAAATGTAATAAAGGGATCTACAAACATTACATTGGTGACATACAGTGAGATGGTAACAGGCATGCGCTTAGGGCCCGCTTTCCAGCAAGTTTCTGTGGGGTGACGCATTCTGAGGTGAGGCAGAGCTCATCTGTGCCTCACCTTACCCCACAGTAACTGGCTTGAGCGCGCTCACAAAATAAGTGCCCGCGCTAAATTAGTCTCCGTGCTCCAGCCAGTTACTGTGGGCTTACGTGAGGCAGAGCACGTCCCTGCCTCACTTCTCATCGCTCCCCGTAGTTGTAGCGGAGCTCTGCAAATTAGCTGATTTTGACTATAAAAAGCGATTGGAATCATACATAAATCCCACTTACAACACAGATCAGTGGAGACATTTTATTATTATTACTATTTAGTTTTTCTTTAGTTGTTTTTCCGTTACATTGGAGTATGACAGGTGAGGCTCTGCCTCCCCTGCCTCCCCTGCCTCCCCTGACTGCACGTCGCTGGTGGTGCTGGTGGTGACTTGGCACGTCACTTGTCGTCGTCTGTTTCTATCGTCTCTCCTGGCCTGTGACTACGGCTTTGCAGTGGCTGGCGTGGACCCACGTGGCTCTCTTGGCGACCTTGACCGCTGTCTGGGTGACGAGAAGCACCTGGTAGGGACCTTGCCAACGGTTGGATTTCCAGCTCTTTCTCCGGAAGTCCTTGACCAGCACGAAGTCGTCTGGTTGGATACGGTGGAGTGGACCAGTAGCAGGGGTAGGTAGACTTGCCGCTACCTGGCGTCTGATATCTGCTAAATTGGATGACAGGTTAACACAATATGACAACATAGCATCCTCACACAAAGTTGTGGAGGGGAGAGGACATCCTGGCGCCTTGATCCCAATCTGTGGAGGAGCTGCAAAAAGGATCTCAAAAGGGCTGAGTTGACTCTGTGTTTGTTTCCGCATCCTCATGTACATCAGCTTCATGTTAATTAAGGCTTTATCGGCTTCTGGCGTCCATTTAAGGCGATCTGCAGGTTTCAAACCGGTGACATGCGTGATTGTACGGAGTGGCTGTTCGAGCGGAGAATAGTTAGGAATGAATGACCTGCAGTATGAACACATACCCAAAAATGACATAATCTGTCGCTTAGTGACAGGTTTTGGCAGAGCAGCCAATGATGCAATACGCTTATCTGAAAGCGTTTTTCCCTCCCCTGAAATGATGTGACCCAGAAATGTAACTGTCTTCTGTACATATTGAAGTTTAGACAAACTGGCCTTGTGGCCCTCTGCTGCGAGGTGTTTTAACAAGGAAATGGTATCAGCTTCACACTGTTCAGCTGTGGGCGCGCAAATCATGAGGTCATCAACATATTGTATGAGAGCGGTGCCTTTGGAAACTTGTAGAGAGGCCAAACTTGTACACAGTGGGAGATTCGCAGTAGCCTTGACACAAACGTGTGAATGTGTATGGCTTACCATCATATTCAAATGTGAACCAAAATGTACTGTCTTTGTGTACAGGGACACTGAAAAATGCATTTGAGAGGTCTACAACAGGGAAAAATGCTGCAGAGGCTGGAACCTGAGAGAGAATGAGATAAGGATTTGGAACGAGCGGCGCGCGTGCATGTGCGGCTTCATTTACAGCTCGTAAATCCTGCACAAATCTCCATTCGTCAGGGGGTTTGTCACGGATCTTTTTAAACGGAAAAACAGGAGTGCGCACCGTAGAATCATTACACGCAATAATTACCCCTTGTTTAAGCAGGGAGGTAAAAACTGGCCGAATGCCATCAACAGCTTCACGCTTTAATGGGTATTGGGGATGATTTGGGCGGTAGGTAGACTTAGGGGTGATAACAATAGGTTCGGCAGAACGGATTAAACCAACATCATATTTGTGAGCTGCCCAGAGTGTCGGAGGCACATCTTTTAGCGCGGCAGGAAGCTCAGAAATATGAGAGTAACCTGAAAACACAGGCTCCCGTGGCCCGGCCCAGAATTCACACAGTCCTCGCCGATCAAAACAAGAGTACGTAGGGCGTGTATGTTACAGTCAACATCGTACTTAAAAACATCGTGTGACATGGAGTACATGATCTTAGGTGTGTGTGTGGCTGTCCAATCAGTGATATATTCCCAATCTTTAACGAATGGACCCAAATCCCTCCATTTATCAGTGGGGCCCCTTGCTAGTGAAATGTGCGGGACCGCCCCTGGGATTTGATACAGCTTGTGTTGTGTGGGTGTGAGTGTGACAGAAATAGCACTGCGCAGCGAGCTCCAATACATTGTTTTAAGCATGATTTCGTCATTCACACATTCCAACAGAAACTGTTCATCATAGTATTTGCATGTATCATCAGAAATGCTAGCAGTGCAATGTAAATTAGGAGCTTCCATAAACACAGCCAGTGGTGGGACACACTGACGGGCCAAACGCAACAGTTTCTGAGAATCAGGAAATGTAGCAAGCCATTGATACACAAACCACAATTCCTCGTCAAATGAGAGTTTTTGGACCATTGTAGGGGATGGTCGTCTGACTTTTAGACCCTCATTTGTAGAAATTAGGTCAAGGCCAAACCGGAGGATCAGATCTCTGCCCAGTAAATGTATAGGGCAGACAGATGACAGAAGGAAACTGTGTTTGACTGATGTGGGAAATGGATAGCTGTCATCACCGTTATCTCTACACTGGACTGGTACTGAAAACTTCTCCTTTATAGTTACACCTGCCACTCCTATTGAGTGAATAAATCTACCACTTAATTTGCAATCAGGCAAATCTGCCATTTTTACCACAGAATGTGTGGCCCCTGAGTCAACCAAAAACGTAACATCAACACCCATGATGGCTAGAGTAAGTGTGGGAAATTTCTTAAATGCTGCTTCAGTGTCATATTTCAAATATGTACCATCTTTAACCACAGGCATGTGTTCTAATCTATCGATAGCTTGCATGATGTGTGTGTGTGTGTGTGTCATTTCCCTGTTTTGATGCTGCAGGTAGAGGTCCCGTCTCACTTGACCGGACCCTCCTTTCCTCCTCTTCCGCACGTCAGTCTGAAGTTCCCCCTTGCTGTTGATTTCCCCGGTTCTAGTTCCATGCGGCTTTTGGACAGTCATTGACCCAGTGGTCTTTGGATCGGCAGATGAAACAGCTTCCATCTTCCCTTGCTTCTTGGTTGGTTTGGCGGCCTCTGCCCCGTCCTCCATGGGTGTTTTGTCCCTCGCCACCGCGTCCTCTGCCTCTTCCTCTGAAACCTCCTCTGCCTCTTCCTTGTGACCAACCTGTAACAGCTTGGGTCAGTTGGGCTTTTTCTTTTCTTTCACGTCTTTTCTTGTCGTCGTTGACCTTTTCTTCGTTCAGGCGGTGTTGGGAGTGAACGGCATGCCTGCGCATTTCTTCAAGTCTGGCGCCATCCATCACTCCAATGCAGGTTTGTTTTACAGATGTGGAGATGGGGGCTGTGAGACCGTTGAGGAAAACGTTGCTGAGGTGGGTCTCCCACACGCCTGTCTCAGGGGTTGGGTAGCCTTCAGGCCTGGCGATGCCGCTGTTTTCGTTGAACACCTGATGCAGACGATGATAATAGTCATTCACGGTCTCTTCTGCAGTTTGTTTGCAGGCGGAGATTTTTGACATGTCAACCTTTGCTGGAAACTTGTTTCTGATGGCTTCGCCGAGTGCGGTGATTGCGTCGCGGTATGGGGCATTGTCATTATGGTCCCATTCTGGTTTCTTCAGACAGAGTTGGCCAGCCAGCAGTGCCGTGAAATGGCTGGCGTGTGTTGGCCCGATTTTTAATGTCAGTAATTTCTTTATCTCAGGCATGGTGGGAGAGAACTGTTGGCAGAAGAGGAGTAGGGCTTTGGCGAATTTATCGCCGTCTTGTTGAATTTCAGGGAGATGTTCCAACATTTCCTTCATTGTCCAGGGGCGGTAAACAACAGCTGGACCCTGTGGTCCCATTGTTTGAATCATGGGAAATGCTTGTTGTACCGTGGAGTCGGGTCCTTCCTCTTCTTCTTCTTCTTCTTCTCCGTGCTGACCTTTTTGTTGGCGGAGCGATTCCTTTCTTGCTGCGTCAGCCAGTCCTTGTTGTTGGTGTGCAGGAGCGTTTGGAGGGGGTACGTATGGAGGAGGGAAAGGGTGTCCTGGGTCGAGGAGAGGGTTCCTCGTGCCTGTAAGAGAAGGATACAGAGAAGTGGATGTCTGGTGGAATGGATTGTGTGGTTTCGGACAACATTTATTTTCCCTCTTTCCTTCACTTTCATCATCCACCTTTATTTTCTTTAACGCTGAGGCTAACTGCCTCCTTTCACGGCATTCTGCTTCATCCTCCCAGTATTTTAAACACTTTCTGTGAGTTTCTATCTTTTCTAACGCTTTTACTTTAATTTTACTCTTCTTTCTCATTCCATCCTCATAATCTTGTAATTTGTCCTTTAGGTCTTTGAAGATCCTCCCTTTGGAAATACGAACATTTCCATCCATATATTTAATTTTGACACTGTTCTCACCATATTTGTCTCTCATGTCATCCACTATGGGCCCTGGGGCCTCAGCCCCCTTACTTTGTTTTGTCCCCATCTCTAGATAAATCTAGATTGGCTTCAAAATCCCTTAAGTGTCGATCAAACACTGCTCACCCGTCGGTGATCTTATATTTGTTTCCACGTACAAATCACAAAACTATTTTTCTTATATTTGCTTCCACGTACAAATCACAAAACTATCGCCGTAACTTTATTTACGTCAGATATTGCTCGTATCCTCTTTTGCGGTTAGCCACCCACTGCAGATGTCATGGAGTTTATTTAACTTTTACTTTTAAACAATTAGAAATTGTACATCTCAGCAGATATTTTAGAGGAATTGAGTTTGTTGGATCTCGTGAAGTCAATCAGTTTCACTCAGGCGCTGGTCCTCTTGTCCCGTAATACTTTCTGTCGAGGTAGAGGAGAATCCGAGGATCCCGGCGGCCAACCACCAGCGTCCCTGGGTGTCCCCGATGGAGCTTTCAGAGATCCCGCTTCTGACACCAAGTCTGTTGTCTGTATTTTAACCTCGTCAACACTGTAAAGATGTACAATGAGACTAATCAATAATAAACTGGTGAAAGCAAACAGAGTTGTCTTGTTGGTTCTTTATACAAGCTTGAAGGTACAGGTCATGCAAAATGCAAAGTGGTTTGCAGGAGTGGACACAGGGGCAAATGTGTGTGTGTGATTTAGAGAGGACTGTTGCTGTGCAAAAGGAAAGAGATAACACCTTCTCCTAACTGTTATCTTACAATGCTCTCATAAGGAACAAGAGCCTCATTGTTCAAATACGACCTTGGCAGGAAGCTACCGTGGGATACAACAGGTTGAGCTGACCAAGCAATTTCTCAGCATAATATCATCATTTGGTTTTACCATATAAAGTAATATAAGAAATTGCCACTACATCCTCTCTTGGTTTTGTTTCATATAACAAACCTGTGATACAGTAGGGCTGCTCTCCTGTCCAGCTCCCATCATCTAGACAGGTGCGCTCCGTTGAGCCGTACAGTGAGAAGCCTTCATCGCAGGTGAAGCTCAGACAGCTGCCCTCCAGGTAATGTGTCCCATTCTTCTTCCCATTCCTAGGTGTGGGAAGCCAGCCACAAGACACCACTAGAAGGAACAATAACACATTAGAAAATAAATATCAAAACTGTATGCTGTCCCAAATAGTAATAATCAAATGTTTTTGAAACGTATGAAAAACAAATACATTCACTTCATTTACAGTATCTTTTTCTTATCTTATGACATTAGTATAGCTGAACACAATCTATTACTGGTGAGGTTAGAGAGTGTAGGCATTTTAAGGTATACCATTATAATTTTTAATTTAAAGCAAGCAATAGCAAAGTTGTATGATACATTTGCATGTTGGCATGTAATACACATGTTGTGCTGTACCTTGCTCCAGGGCTTCCGTAAGGGCCAGATGGCTTTCGTAGGCCCCGAGGGTGGCGTTTCCCATTCTCAGGCTCTGTGTGGTCAGGGTATCATATTTACAGAACTGCGCTCCTTCTCCCAAGCACATCGCCAACATGTCTGCCATCAGAGGGTCATCGGGTGTCTCGGGTAGAGAAAAGGCGGGAACAAAGGCAGTATCATGGCTTGGTGGGAAATAGTATGTATCCATAAGGTACTTTGAGTCATATGTGAAGAGGGAGGACGTCTTTGAAATGTTCCCTGTGGATAAAAGTAACAAAAAACTCAGTTCAGATAAGCATCAATGTTGTCCATGTCCAGCCATCCATCCATCTTCTACCGCTTATCAGAGTCGGGTCGGGGGTAGCAGTTCCTGTATAGGCTTTGATATTTTATGTTGCTTTAAAGTGAACACTGAGCAACTGAGCAAAATGCCGCATTGATATTAATATATACAAGTCTTTCATGCTCACAGCCAGCTCCAAAGGTGAAGATTTCCTCCGGTGTGGCGTCGGCTGGGGAAAGGATCTCTCCTAGTCCGGTCAACAGGTCATCTGAGGGGTCAGAGTTCATGAGACCGAGGAGACCCTGAGTGTGGTTAGTAAACTCTGATGGAAGCAGGACGGTCACTGCCATGGCTCCTTCACGCACCCGAACCTCCACGCCAACTCCAGAGAGGAAGATTACTGTCACATTCTGAAGACTGGGGGTGAACACAAATATTCCTAGAAAAAAAAAAAATAGACATTTTGTTTTTACAAAATAAAATAGAGCATCACATTTTGTTACAACTGGTTATGGTCATTAGTGGAAAATCTCATCTCAAGAAGTGGCATTTCGAAACTTAATTAATACAAAGAAAAAATATTTTTCTGGTACTGTAAGCATGAAATATTTTTTGACAATGTGTTATTTAATGTCAATATTATATGCTGTATATAATATGCCGTGTCTATAATAAATTAAAAACTGCTGTATAATGGCTTTAATAGGGCTTATAGGTGATGAATAAATACAGAGTGATGAATATTCATAATGCCTTATATTTAAAGGTCCCATGTCATGCTTTTCCGGTTATTACCCGTCCCCTTGTGTGTTATCAAGGTTTTTATGCATGTAAACGGTCTGCAGAGTCAAAAACCCTCAAAGTACACCCTGTAGGGAGTAAAACTCTAACACAGAAAAGACCTCCCCAAAACGCCACGTTGGAGATTTCTCATGTTCTTCCTGGGCATCGTGACGTCTGGATACCCAGTAGCCACGCCCAGAGCTATGACGAGATACGGTCATGCGGTACTCGGAACCAAATGGACCAATCCGCGGAGCCGTTACGTTAAGCCCCCGCTGATTGGTCCAAATGGACCAATCCACGGACTTCCTCACACACACACACAGTGCAGGCAGCTCTGCTGATTTCTCCTCCCTGGCTGCAGGCTGATAACAGACAGTTGGGATCACGGCGAAATTCTCTCTGCAGACCCATTCTCACAGCGTTTATCAACCTTTTTCTTACTCAATATCAAGCCACACTTATTGTTTTTACTTCGGCTGTGAGTTTGTGTGTGCTCAGGATGAGTTTGGCTGTGTTTCGCTGTGTATCTAAACAAGGAAACAACACCTCCACGGAGCTCAGCGCGATTCACAACGTCCCGACCAATCAGAGCACTGTGCTCACAGGGAGGGTGGGGGCTGGAGCTTTGGGAGCTACAACGAGCCGTTAAAGGCAGAGAGTGAAATTCAGTGAATACACGTAGTTTACAGAGATGCTGTATGAGAAACCAATGTGAGTTTGGAAAATTGCACAATATAAATCTATTCTAGTATACCTCAACAATGGAATTATGATCAGTGGAAATGGCCATGACATGGGACCTTTAAAACAATAATCATAAACAAAAAGCATTTTATTGGACTTTTAGGGTCAAGTATAATAATACTAAATAATAGCTACCATTCACTCACATTTTTGCAAGGAACTTAGTTAACGTTTATTCCCACAGTTGTCAAATATACAAATATTTAAATGCATAATAATTGGTGGTCATTGATAGCTTTCATGGAAGTTAAATAGCATCTTTGGATCTGTAAGAACACACAAAACATAACATTTATTTTCACTTTACTTAAAGCAAACAATGACCACTTAAAATCAAAAAAGTAACTTAATATCACATTCATATGCATTAGCACAGTGATTATAATGCATTATTTAAAAAAAAAAAACAATAACACCTTTGGGAATTATAATAAACTATGATCCTTGCAAAGTCAGCTAGAGACTAGCAATTATAAGGTATTATGATACTAAATATATTAGTCAATATAATGTTTTATAATTATGTTATAATCATTATGAATATCTTGATTGCTTATAACTGTAACTGTTTAATACAATAGGCAGAGTATAACGCATCATACATATGTTTATAATGCATTATAGGGTCACACAGAAAGTGTAACCATAATAAAGAATGGTATGAAGTTCTCACCGTGTAGGTCCATCCATCTCTGCTCGGTGAAAGGTAGGACCTTTTGGTTCCTCAGCACCTGAAGGTGGCCATCTGCTAGACGCACCTCAATGACATCAGAGGTATTTCCTTTCATAGCCACGGATGACAGCACTGTGGCTTTGGCCGATGTACCTTGGTGGTCAATATAAACGTCACAATATCACAGATGTGCTACTATGTATGTTAGGAAGTATATCACTCGTCACCGGCTTGAGCTTCAATATCAGGATGGTTATGTTGCGAAAATACTGAATGTACTCTTCCAAATATCAGAGGAGCACATGATAACAAAGGCCCTACGTAGCTGTGTACGTAACCGGATGTATGATTACCTAGAAGAGCATCAGGACTGTTTTAGGCATATGATAGCTATGTGACAACGATTAACATGATGATTCAGCCTATAGGGAGATATGACTGTCATGTTTATTGCTTACGCAGGCCTTAGCTAATCTGAACTAAACATTGAATACTGCTTTGAACCGGTATTCTGCCTATTGTGAGTGTAACCCTCTCTTGTATTTAAAGCATGTCAAGGACACTGTTCTGGGAACTATTTGTCCCATGCAGCTATGTATGTGAGTGATGACGACTTCCATTCTTGCAAGGATAATAAATGTATCCTGATATTGAAGCTTAAGCCGGTGACGAGTGATATTTTTTCTAACAATGTACAACATATTCTGTATTACTGTTCATCTCTCTGCATATCAGATAATCTCAATGTTTGATTTTACTGATCTAATGAGGAGAATGTGATCTTCTGCAGTCACTGGGCTCATGGCTGTTGTGTAATGGCTTGGAGAAAATTCTGAAAAATGAAGCCAACTTCTGTTTTTCTTTACCACTTCTGAACCCAAGAGATACTCAGCAAAAACAGGCGGGAACTAAGTTATATTCTGTCATTTGTCAGCGGCAACATGTTTCAATCACACAAGAAATACCTGTCATCACTTGCCTGCAGAAGAAAAGGAGTGTTAAAGATGTGATTGAGCTTTTAACTCTTTTTAAAGAGGCCCTATTATGCTTTTTGGGGATTTCTGGGCTCTGGTTTCAGACAGAGGGTGAAAAGAGCTGCAGCACAGGCAGTATGAGAAAAAGGAGGAAAAAAGACCTTTATGAACATTAAAGCATGGAAACATGTCACAGAAGAGGCACACCATACAATTATGAAACCTTAACATGGGCATAATTGGGCCCCTTTAAGAGGAGTGCAAAGAAAAAAGTCCAAGCAAAAGAAGACAAAAACAAGTAAAATTTAGAGGCAGGTAATCAATCTTGTGACAAAAAAAAAAGAGTCACTCAAATAATAAAAAAAGGATTATCGTTTGTCCTGGAAACATTTTGATCCAAACAAAGCTGCTGCAGTAGTAGCATGTGGTTTAAAGAGTGGACACAGACGGGCCTTTCACATCAAATGTGCACTCACCATTCTTAAATTTCAGCGCCTCTGTTCTGGCCTGAACACTCAGCTCTCTGTCTGGAGAAGACACAAGGTAGTATTCTCCTTTGCCGTTGAAAGTGTAGCCGAGCCCGTCAAACGTTACGAAATGCGGATCCCCGAGGACAACACCTGCGAGGCGACGAGAAAGAAATGACTGATGCGTTTACAACAAATACTCACATAAACATATTTCTTTCACAGTACATCTCTCACATCAGTATGCGGTTTATTGTTGTCTTTATAGTCTCTGGAGAGCAGGAAGTCAATTGTGTGATCTAATATGTTTTCACATTGTAACTCTCAGCCGCAGTCTGTAATTCAGTTATTTTTCCTGAAAGCTCCTCTGGTATTACTCTAGTGTCCATGTGTAGAATACACTGTAGCAAGTGTGTGTCGCACACAGTGGCAATTAAACATAGATACACTTTTTCTTGCTGTCGCGGTGCACTTCTTGCATCAAAAGCTTTACCCAAAATTCAGCAAACTGAAACCAGCAACCCCCTTTATTCATCAAGAAACAGATCCTATATGTTTGACGTTAAGAAATAATATAATATCTATTGAAATATTCCACACTTTCTTCCACGCAGGAGAAAAACGTTATATTTGTAATGCAGACTAAAACAATAAACCACAAGCCTTAAAGGGGAAATAGGAGAATTCCCACATGTTGTTCCAAAGGTCAAGACAGCTCAAAGATGTATGTGAACATGAACAACTCCCTTTTAAATCCTATGTGATCGAAGTATGGAGTGTGGAACTGCTCTATATTCAATAAATGGTTAAAGATGTGATCGATGACACAGCACCGTAGGAAATGGTCTTAGTATATTGGGAAACTTTCTGTTACAACTACAACACAACAATAGCATAAAGCTTGTTTACAAAAAGAGGCTTTTCAGCCCCTTTGCAGTGGCTCCCTCTAGCTTTGAACAAAAATAACATGGAAATATAACAGCTATTTTTATTTTTGTTGCACAATGGACACTTTTTTGAAAGGTTCTCTATTCGTCTCCAAGTTTGAGGTGATACTGTGAAACTGAAATAGTATTAGAATTTGATCAGCTTATTATGCATCACGTCCTTCTACATCTATGTTCTGGCGCCTCACGGTGGTAGCTAATCCTCAATTTCAGACTTCCCGGCCTTGGAAAACTAACCATGATTTTTTTATTTTATTATTTATTCTACTATTTCAACAATTAGACAATTTATACATCCAAGAAACAAACAATATTAGAAGAACTGGGAGGGCAGAAAGCATAGCTTATACAGAAGTAGCCCTCCCGTGAATCATCCAGTTGCAGGATAAAGAAAAAAGATACACACTAAATTCTCTATATATAGAATTTTGTTCATCTGTGTGCGTATTTAATTACGGATTTATAGACTCACACAGATAAATTCAACTCCAAAAAAAAAGAAAAGGCACAAATGAAATAGAGAGTTGAATTCTGCGTATTTAGATTCCTTTGCTTTGCATGCCAACAATAATGGCTTGCTTGATATATTGTGAGAAATCAGCAACCCAAAAAAAAAGGTAATCTTGAAAGACATTTCCAGGACAAGGACACAGCATTTGCTGCTACTTATGTTAAACAGGTAGAAATGTCGATAGACTTTCAAAATGTTTCTTTATTTTCTATGCAACAAACTAGTTTTTGTATACATAGTATAACTCTATAAAACTTTAAAAGCTGTGTTTCAAAAATGTTTTACACCTCCAGACACACTTAATTTGGTGGCAAAGGGGGGACACTAATGGCTCCTTTGTTAATAAAGGTGGCTGACCCTAGTGAAAATAACACATTGTAGTTTCTAATTTAGGCACTGTAGCAAATGTAATTTCAGATTCAAATGAACTTTTTACTGGTTAAGTAGGTCTGTGCTACTGTGCACATATATTGAGTTATAAAAACATGAAATCGACTTGATGTGTCTCACCAGCTTTTGGGGGCTGGTAGCTGCGACAGCCGCTAGAAGGGCGATGGTTGAAGTAGATGTTGCAGTGGTCAGACCACAGGCAGCAGTAGTAGAAACTCATGACATCGTAAAGCCAGTGTGAGTACCCCGGCACCCGTGGGGGCTCCCTGTAGGGAGGCGAGCCCCAGTCGTGAGCCCTGTCCGGGGTGCTGCCCCCGATCGAGTCTCCCGTCAGCACCAGAGCCCCTGTGCTGTCATAGCAGCACTGCTGCCCCGATCCATGCGTAGGACTGGAAAAATTAAAATAAAACCATGTCAAAAAGTTTGTAAAAATGTATCAATTTATTTTACATAAGATAAACACTCCTACCTGGCCTGAATGGCTCTGACACAGTGGACGGAACCTGGGTGATAAGTGCACACACTGCCCCGCTCAATGTCACAACTATAATCAGTCTGAAATAACACAGTGAATAAAAACTGTCTCAGTAATACAATTATCATCAATCTAATATGATTTGCAAATATAAACATTAACATTCAAGAAACAACACTTATTGATCGGTTTTATTTCTGGTTAACAGAAGTCCAATAAAGTATTTTAATGCGGATCACATGTAATGATTGAATACAAAGCAAGTTCCCTAAATGAGTCCTGAGTCTTTGGTTTCTGGGATGACTGAATGACTTCAAATAATTTGTACTATGCAATTGAATCACTGCAGTTCTTTTGTTTACAGTACTTCCTGAAATCCAGGCTAACTCTTCATGCTGACTGGTCACAATGTGGCTGTCATCATATGTATAGTTCTGTTTCGTTTATGAATTTGCTTGCAATATATGCCATTAAAACATAATTTATATTCTGTCTTGTCTGGCTTTTAAAATATTTGACTCTGATGAGCTAACTGGTACTGTGCTTAGAACAAAGAAGTATTTGCTTATTGCATCACACTCATATTTGTGTCTTCTCCACTGTCAGAATGTTAATATTAATTCTAAAACACACTGCTATTAACACCCTTTTGAAAACGCTTAAGTTTAATTAGCACGTTATATATTAAAACATCAACTATACTTGTAAGACAGTGTTATAGGTTCTTGAATTAAGCTTAAGATTGTCATTTAGTTAAGGTACACATATTTTTCTGCCATAGGATACGCTTAATATATTGATTCTTTAAGTGTTGATACTACTACTAGAGTTATTTATACTAATCAACTGAAAAAATATAATTATAAATCTTTAAAAATAAAAAATGTATATTGGTAATATAAAAGTACCGGAGTTGATCAAAGTGCACCAGAGATGGCAAAAGTACACACATCCTTTACTCAAGTAGAAGTACAGATACTCATGTTTAAAAATACCCTGGTAAAAGTAGAAGTACTGACTAAACTTCTTTACTCAAGTAAAAGTAAAGAAGTATGGGCTTCGAAATGTACTTAAGTAAAAAGTACCCATAACTACCAGCTGTTTTAAAGAGTACCTGACCTCCCTTTATATTAATAGAACAATAATGTCATTGTTAGCTAATGAATGTTTCCATGCTGAACAACGGCAACATGACAACGTTTTCATTGGTCCCTCTTCTTTAGAGAAGACCAGGAAATGATGGATACACGGATCGTGTTCAAATCAATACGCACGCAATGACTCTAAATAATAATGATCACGCCACCAAACACACATTCAAACTAAAGGAACGCGCCTGTTTTGAAAATGTAAGAAGTATTAAGTACAGGTATTTGTGTTAAAAATGTACTTAAGTAAAAGTAAAAAGTCGTCAGAAAAATATAAGTAGTGGAGTAAAGTACTGATACAAGAAAAATGTACTTAAGTACAGTGACAAAGTATTTGTACTCCACTACTTCCCACCTCTGAAGTGCACTCACATGAAACCTGCCTGTGTCAGCACGGGCCTGTGCCAGAGTGCAGGGACAGGTAATGAGTTCCTCCAGGAAGTTGGGCAGCTTGTTCTCCAGGACGTCCCACTGCAGACACCGGCTCCTGGCCCAGGCTGCAGACTCATCTCTGAAAGCCTGCTCCAGGTGCCAGGCTAACACATGCCCACCGCTCCAGAGCCCCTCTACATCCCTGCGTATCAACAAACACCATTTTAAGAATATTTGACTTTAATTTTATATTTCAAAGGGAAATAACAGAGTTTAAGCCAGAGCTGAAATTAATTATGTGGTGGTTAATTGGTCTAATAATCTATTTATCATACTGTCAATCAAAAATTGCACAAAATAAATATAATAACACAATTTCAAAAGCCTGGGGTGACAATACTTAAGTTATTTAACAAGTAGAAAAAGCTTAAAATACCATTAGCTTCCTAAGTTTGTTTCTTAAATGTGTCCTTGAGAAATGTTCTATGATCCGCAGGGTCGTGTTGAAAAGAAAGCTTGAGAGAATGAAGGAAATCAGGACAGCCTAAAGTCAGTGGTTACAAATGTTTTAATAGCGTTGATGCCAGTTTAGTGTTTATTTATTTTAAAAGATCATAAGGCGTTGTAAATTAAAGATGAGGGATATGTGTTATGGATACCTTGCTCCATCTGACTTAGAACTAGCAGTGATGCGAATGTTTCCCAACTTCCAGTCGGAGTAGTCCTCTGAGGGCTCGGGGACGAAGCTGAAGGCACCAGTGTTGGGCAGATTCCTTCCGAGGGAGTACAGGTAGCTCAGCTCGGCCTGCAGAGAGGATGATCCGTTCACCCCCGACTCAGTGCTCCTGCTGAACTCTCTGTAACCCCACAGCTCTAGGTTGACCGTCTCTGCACCAATCAAAGAGCTGTTCCATGTCATCTTTAGACATCCAGACACGTTTGGTGTGCCGTAGTACTGCCACTGTGTTGCATTCACCAGGATGACTTCAAAGGCAGGGTCAGCCTTACTGGGGTGGACTAACAGTAAAAACCAGAAAAGATTTAGGGGATCACACAGGTTTGCTCTACCAAGAGTTGTGCAGATTCAACATAAAACATGTCGGACAATGATAAGAAGACACATGAGAAAATAACTGCATTGAGAAGCTACTTTTGCTTCATAAAAAGTATTGATCAAGTGGTTGCATAAATGGTTTGTCCGTTCATCTTTTCACAGTGGAACCACCTTTTCAGAACATTTCTTTCTTTATTTTAAATGCCACCTTATAAGCTTTACCTGAAATGATACATTCAGAGGAGGTATTTCTTAAAATGTTAATTTTAAATAATGTTTCCTGATACTCACTCAGTGCTATGTATAATGGAATTTACATGACACAAATCAAATCACAGGTTCACAAGTCAATTCAGAAGTGGAAAAAATATATATATATATTCCAGAAACACACCTGACAAGAACTCTCCAGATCTGTCAAAATGTATCCCGTCGATTGAGACAGTAAATGGTATCCAACCTGTCTCGTACAATAAAGGAGAGATACAGTAGCCGTGGCCTTCATCATCAATAAATCCTTCTCGTTCAATTTCACCCTTGAACCTTCAAATGAAAAAGGCACATTTGGTTTTATTTGTTTATGGCATGTTACGTTACACAACGTTACTACTCCGCCTTCAATACAATTTGTATTCTGTAAACACTCCGACATTCTAGAGTACTAGAATAACCTTTCAAAATGCTTTCATTCAACATTTAATGACAGTCAATAAATATTATGTCTTTGTCAGGATGAAATTTGCAGCTTTTATTTGTGAGTGGATCACTGAAATAAAGGATAAACCTTTTTTATATATTAGACTTGTATTTATACTGCATTATCTGAAAAATCGAATTTGTTAATCCAAAGTAATTGTCATATTTTTTATGTTTTTTCATCTGCTTTTAAAAACAGGGTTATCATTATTGTAATTATTGTATTTATATTATTATTGATATAAAAATAACCCGTGTGTGCCACTTCTTTAATGAAAGCGAAAATAGGTTTTTGCAAAATAACTAATTTTTGCTTTTTTTACAACTCCAACAAATTACTTATTACACTGAAAAGATATATGATCTTAAATGATATGTTATTTTACAGTAAGCAACGTTTTTTTTTGATTTTCTCAGGATTACTCTGTGCCTTTTCTGAAAAATATTGGAATTCACACACAAATATCAGTAACGAATACTTAATTGGATAGTAAGTAGCCTTGCACAGAACAAAGTCTAATGAAAAACACATGCACTTAGTCAAAAAAACTCTACATATGATCTGTATATAGTGTACATATTTTCACTGTGAGAACCTAATCAGATGATGAGTACTAGATTAAGATCATGAATACGTCAGCCGTGGTTGTAGACACAAACCTGCAGAGAAGTCGCCCACCAGGATGAAGGGCCACGCCGAGGATCCTGAGAGCTCTACCGCCTAGCATGGAGCTGGAGTGAGGCGTCACCTGGAAACACGACTGGTTGTAGTCTGCACAACACTTCAGCAAAGACACACAGGTTGCATGGCAGGAGCATTTCTCCAACACGTCTCCACACTGTCCCCTGCATGTTTGACCTAGTGAAAAACATACAAAACATTTTAAATAAAAACAATGGTGGAGAAAGTATTCAGATTAGTTATTAAGGAAACAATACCACTGTGTAAACAGGCTAAATAAGTCCTGCTATAATTTTACAAAAGAAAAGTACATATGTATCCCATTTGAGTATAAATGATATTGTTGAATTATAATTATGGATGTTATTAATGTGTTCATCACAATGTTGCAGCTGGTGGGCCTATATTTTTAAATAGTACACACACACACATATTTATGTATGAATGTATGTTTGTATGTATGTTAATGGAGTGAATTGAAAATAAATCTGAATATTAAAGGAGAGTTAGTATACGAAATAGAACATCGAAATATTCAGGTTGTTGCATCTAGTTAAAATGCACAATGCAAATAAGTTATAAAACGCCCATTTAATTTAATCTATTCAAAGGGAAAAATAATAAGGGGCGATTTTATATTTGAACAGCAGGTCAGCAGCTATCTCATGTTTATAAATACTTTGAAAAGTTACTTACCAGCTGTTTTAGACGAGAAAAGGAGAAAGATTCCACAGAGAAAAATTGTCTCTTTTAAATGCCCTCTCGTGTGCATGGTAAAGAACAAAATACCACTGCGCGAACACACACATCTGCCCTACACCTCGCTTTGTGGAAAACTACCATTGAGTTGTATCTGAGTATCAAAGGTCATTTAAATAGCAAACAGACTTTCCAATGACAGTTACGAAGCTATAAATTAACAGACGTTGGTCAGTAAAATAAAGGTCTTACACAAACACTATTTACAGTGTATGCTTTACAAAACGCACACTGTCTTGTATATGCAGTTGTTTTCTAAGACATGTTTGCTAGTATTGTAAATGTTGTTAAATCCTGGGATAATTCACGTGTAAATTCACGCGAGACCTTACGGGATTTTAGCATTTCGCGCATGTGCAGTTCATGACACTCCAAATCTCCCAGTAAAGAATGAATGATATGGAGGAGGGGGATTGTCAAATTGAATCAAAAAACAGTTTCTTGTTATGATTAATCCCCCCTGGATAATTTTCGCGACGTTTGGCGTGACAAGCAGCACAGTGGAGGAATAGTATGATATGGGAATGAGGTATTTCTTATTCAACTAGCAAGCTAGCTGACGTTAGCTATAGGCTCACATAGCCAGCAGCATCAGTACTGTAGTTCATAATAGGCTAACAAAACACAGGAAAATGTACTTTCTCTACACAATTATCGCGTCTTTAGCCGTTTTCTTCATTTTGAAATGGTTGAAAAAGAGGAGATATTGCACCGACCTAAGAAGACTTGATGGAAAAACAATTCTCATTACAGGTAAATTAACATGTCTTGTTCATTGCAACGCATCCCTTAGTTATTTCGTTTAGTAGTAGCATGTACTGTATGTGTAGCTCAGTGTGGATTAAATTGCTAATGATTATACCAAACATCCCTGCCTGTTGTTGCCTAATATAATCATAACAACCTGCTTATTTAGTTAATGTTACTGCTGTGCTTCCTTTGTCACACTCCTGCCATTGTATTCCACACATTCATTTTATATTTGTGTCTATTCAAGGTGGGAATTCTGGCATTGGCAAGGAGACTGCCATTGCCTTGGCCATGAGAGGTGCTCGGGTCATCATCGCCTGCAGAGACCCGGACAAGGCTGAGAAGGCTGTGAGGGAGATCAAGTTGAAGAGTCACAGCCTTAACGTCCTCCACATGGAGCTGGATCTGGCCAACCTGAGCTCTGTGAGGGAGTTCTGTAAGAGCTTCTTGCAGAGAGAGAAGAAGCTTGACATCCTGGTCAATAATGCAGGTCAGGCAGTCCACCACAATTCTTAATACAGGACTGATGCCACCAAAGAAAGAGGCACACATGTTATTCTTTAAAGTGATGACTTTGAGTTTGTTTGGTCGCATGTTAGAGTTGACCTGCTAATATTACAGTAAAGATTTGTTGGCTTTTTTCATGCCATGTGTCCAGGCATTAAGGTTGCTGTAGTGTATAGATTGTGCAGCAACAGGAGCTAAAAGCCATTGTTGTGACTTCTTTCTTCACTCTCTGTGGCGCTTCCTCAGGCATGCCCGGTGTCCTTGAGTGGACAGACAACAACTTCAGCATGTGTTTTGGCGTCAACCACTTGGGTCACTTCCTGCTAACCAACCTGCTTCTGCCTCGCCTGAAGGAATGTGCCCCCAGCCGGGTGATCACCCTCACATGCTCCAGCTACAAATACCAGAAACTGGACTTCCAGGACCTCAACTACAACCAGCTGCCCTTCTTCACCTACTGCCGCAGCAAGCTGGCTAACATCTACTTCAGTCAGGAAGTGGCCCGCATCACTGAAGGGAAAGGAGTGACCTCCTATGCTGTGCACCCCGGTAAGAGGGCCTGTTTTGATGCTGCTCTTGTCCTGCACTGGTGTCCAACTCAGTGTTTATTGCATATTCTGTCCACCTGCTTACAAAACAATACAGGTTACTGTCAACGGAAGTTTAATGTAGCACAATGTGATGCTAAATTCATAGATTTTTTATTTTCTGACATATTATAGAAGAAACAAATTATCAATTGTAGTGAAGTTACAGCTTTTTATCTTTTATTAAAATTGAGTATTTTTTTTAACTTTCAGTTTAAAAAAGATAATTGATGTGCATGTGATACATTTATTTACAATCAACATATTTTGACATTTAGGGTTGGGCTATAAAGCACAAAAAAAACCTATTCAAACTGTTTATTAAACATGACTGTACAGTTTACATTAAGATAGCTCTCATTGTTCATATTAGTGTTTGTATCACACCATCTGGTTACAATGGTTGAAAATCAATGAGCAGGGCATCTTCATGACAGTATTGTATTTATTTACAGGAAATGAATGAACCAAAACAGACTTTGCTATATTATTTTATTGATTAAACATTCTCAATTGACTTTATCACAACCCTATCACAAGATATACTTAAAACCTGATTTATAATGACTCATTACTAAGATTTGAATCATATTGCCAGCCCAAAGACAGTCTGTATTCCTGATGCTTAACATTTCTCCTCACATCTGTGTTGCTCCAGGTTTCGTCCAAAGTGGCTGGACATGCCACTACTCCATCCTGTTCCGGATGCTGGTGCAGGTGATCATGTGGATGTTTTTCGTGCCGTGTGAGATCGGAGCTCAGACTGTCATCTACTGTGCTGTGTCAGAAGAAGCAGCCAAACACAGCGGGGGTTACTTCATCGACTGCAGACCAGCTACTCTGCGTCCTTTCGCAAGAGACGCTGCTGTGGCAAAGAAACTGTGGGAGGCCAGTGAGAGACTGGTGAACCTGGCCTGATGGGAAGCTGGGGGACTGATTCTGAGAGATATTTATGTTCACATACTTCTTTTTATTAATTTATTCCATTGATATGTTTGATATGTTTTTCCATTGATATGTTTGATATGTTTTTCCATTGATATGTTTGTGTACAATGCAATTCTCTGTATTCAGGGAGGTTTGTGAGTTCTTTCATAAACAAACGGTTCACCCTGGTCATTGACATGTTTGTGTACAAGGCAGAACAAATCTTGTTCTTTTATGTGCTTGTGAATTTCAAAAGGAACTGTTTTGCACAAATAAAATAAAAACTTATTTTACAGTGTTTTTTCAGTTTCTAGTAAATTGTCATTCAATTAAATGTATGTGATTACAACATTTGATATAGTGAATATTTTACATATAAATTATGAGATTTGGTTTTGACCTAGGTATTTTATTTAGGCATGCATTGATTTAAAAAAAAAATTCTCAGGCATTTCACGTGAAAAGTCACTGTATTATCTGTTAATTTATCCAACACCACCATCTGCTGGTAGGATCATTAATTGTCAGTTTTCAGTTATCTAATTGAAACGTTAGAAAGTCAAACTGAAACCTGATTTACCGCCATTTCTGAACGGAGCCGAGACGCCATTACAGGGTGGAGAATCTTCACTTTAAACACAAACTAGAAGGATACCAATCTGTTATTCAAAAGGGACACTGATTTGGTGAGTCGTGCTGTTAAGGGATCATTGAAATATCTGCGAAAATGGCTGAGAAAACCGCTCTGTTTGAAAGTTTCCTGAGCTGCCATGTGTGTTCAGAGACTTTCAGAGATCCTGTGTCTCTGAGCTGCAACCACAGCTTCTGTTCGAGCTGCCTGCAGAAATTCTGGGAACAAAGTAAGAACAAAAACTGTCCCATTTGTAAAAGAAAGTCCACAACGGACGAACCAGCAGTGAATTTAACTCTGAAGGAGCTGGCTGACTCCTTTGTTGAGAAGCAGAAACAATGTTCACCTGAGACAGAAAAAGGAAAGGAGGAAGAGGAGGTGGTGTGTAGTAAACATCCAGAAGTCCCTTATTGGTTCTGTAAGGATGAAGATAGAGCTGTGTGTCCTGTCTGTGAGTTTTCTCTCCACCAGAGTCACAAGGTGGTTCCTGTAGAACAAGCAGTCATTGAGCTGAAGGACCTGCTGAAATCTGACTTAGAGTCTCTGCAGGACAAGAGGGACAAATACAAACGAGTGGAGGAAACATACAATGAAGTGACTCAAGTGTCCAAGAAGCAGCTGCTGTCCACAGAGAGGCAGATCAGAGCAGAGTTCAACAAGCTCCATCAGTTCCTGAAAGAGGAAGAGGAGTCCAGACTGGCAGCTCTGAGGGAGGAAGAGGAGCAGAAGGGGAAGACTATCAGCAGAGAGATGAAGAGCATTCAGGAGCACATCTCCTCTCTGTCACACAGTATCTCTGCTGTTGAAGAAGAGCTGCAGAAACACAACGGGCCCTTCCTCAGCAGTTATAAAGCCACTCAGAGCAGAGCCAGAGTCCAGAGCTCACTGTCAGACCCACAGCTGCTCTCAGGAGCGCTGACAGATGTGGCCAAACACCTGGGAAACCTGTCCTTCAGAGTCTGGGAGAAGATGAAGGACCAGGTCCACTTCAGTCCTGTCATTCTGGACCCAAACACTGCAAGCCGCTGGCTCTATCTGTCTGATGATCTGACCAGTGTGAGACAAGGAGACAAAGATCAGCAGCTTCCTGATAATCCAGAGAGATTCACTAAGTATGCTGATGTTCTGGGCTCTGAGGGCTTCAGCTCAGGGAAACACAGCTGGGAGGTGGAGGTGGGAGATCATCCTGACTGGCTTGTAGGTTTGACTAAAGAGTCAATTGACAGGAAGGGAGAGATAGTTGCCTCACCAGAATATGGGATCTGGTGTTTAACACATCACAGTGGAAAATACACTAATGTTGATGGTGAGACTGTCAGAGTGAAGAAGAATCTCCAGAGGTTCAGAGTCCAGCTGGACTATGACAGGGGGGAGGTGTCCTTCTACGACCCTGAAGACATGACTCACATCTACGCTCACAGAGACATTTTCACTGAGAAACTCTTCCCATATTTCTGTATTGGAAAAGCTGGTGATGCTAAAACTTGTTGGAACAGAACACCTATTGTGGTGGCTGATAGCCACCCCCTCTGCTACGCGCCGTTCGTTGGATGAGGCTGAAATCTCTATTAAATAAAGAAAGGAATTGAAAACACCGGAATCAAAAGTTATAACAATTATCTGAGTTTACTTCTGGTAGGAAACCAAACACATATACAAGTTATACAGAGTACTCCGGCCTTCAGGTTTGTGATGCGATGCGGATACAAGTATCGGGACCAGCCTTCAACAAACCAAAAAAGCATTTTTACATACAAAACCAACAGTATTCATATCTATATTTTGGGGCGGAGATGTGTTGACTTTTCCCTTCCCCTTTTATTCCAAAGCGAATGAGAGAGTCCGTGAGGAGGAGCTGTCTGAGCTGCTCACCTCCCCCAAGTGTTTTTACTGGCTGGATTCACTTCTGGTCGGGTTCAATAGTTCTGACCAGAACGTGAAATTCCAAAGTTTCACAAGGTCAAAAGTCAACCCTTATCTCCGTCCCGATCTTCACTCCCTTACCTTCCCATGGGAGTTTTTCACATAAACTATTCCTTCTCCGACATTTAAACCTTTGTGCAGATATTTAATGATGTCTTTAACGACCTTAAAAACAACATCTGGTGTAGGGGTGAAAAGTAGAGGTGTGTGTGTGAAACAGGATCCCTGGGTCAGTGAGTTGTAAGAGAGAATATCATTTCTATATATGTGATTACCCAAAACCGTTGTGATTACTTAAAACAGTTCAAACAATACATGTTCACTAAAATACAATTCAAAATAATACATGTTTACTTCAATACAGTGTAGAATCATATCTTTTTACTTCAATCCCTCTTTTGATCTCACCTCACGAGATCAACATATAGCATTTGAAACATTACCACTGTCATTCTCTTCTATTGTGTCCCAACATTTATATAAACCCATCAGAAGCTGGGATGTAGAGCACTTTAAACCTTTAGGAACAGTCCACAACAACAACTTCTTATGACAGTGGAGGGAGAATAAAATATGTCTAAAAAAGTTCGTCCTTGTCAGCTGAGTCATCGTACTCCTCCCCCTCCGACGCATAGGCCAACAAGGGCATCTGGTACGAAGCATTGTTCAGACAAAGTTCCACACCGGCTATATCAACCTGTTTCAGCGGGAAATGGAGTTCCCTGTGCCGTCTTGGTTTGCCGTGTCTTCGTCCCCCCCAGCCCGCTGACGGCGGCTTCTGAGCTGCCTTCTAGAGAGATGTGTCCGGATTGTCCTCCCCCGGCCCGCTGATGGCGGCCTCCGGGTCGATGCTGGAGAGATGTCCCGATCCTCCTCCTCCGGCCCGCTGATGGCGGCTTCCTGGTCGACTGCTGGAGAGATGTCCTCCCGATCCTCCTCCTCTGGTCCGCTGATGGCGCCTCCTGGGTCGACTGCCTTGACGAGAGCCAGATCTGTCCTGATGTCGTCTAGGGTCCTCGCGACGAGGACCAAATATGTCCTGATGTCGTCTAGGGTCCTCGCAGCTGTTTTTCCCGACCGCACACTGGCTCCAGTGGTACCAGTTGTCTCCCTTTCCATCTAGGCGGACGGCATGGGAGGTCCCCTTCAACCAGACGTAATCTGCTGTGTTGGCCTTGTGTTTCTCGGGTCCCCCTTTGGCGTCAGCAACCTGTGTGGAGAAGTCTCATACCAAGCCCTTAAGTTGCTGGAAATATGGTTTTGAACTCATCTCTTCTACTTCTTTAGTGTTTATTGGCGGCACCAACTAAACTGGAGTGTGGACAAGAGACTATGCAGAAAACAATAAACAAAAAATAAAATAAAAAATAAAAAATAAAAAATAAAAAATAGAACAAAAATAAAACAAAAAAAGGAACAAACAAACAAAACAAAAATAACCAAAGCTAGATTATTTTAAATGTATCAATTTCTCTTAAAAGCAACAAACAAAACAAAACAAAAAATAGCCAAAGCTAGTATTTTAAATTGATAAATTTATCTTAAAAACGTAATAATCTCACATACATATTGTCTGATGTATATCCTATCCTTTTCCCCCTTTTTCTGAAATAGAATGCCGTTAACGGTGTTCTTATTTTCAGAAATATCGAGCCTTATACATCAGTTATTTAATATCAGCTATATATTATATATTATTATTACTTATATATCAGGCATTAAATGTCAGCCTTCTTCCATGATTGACCTCGTTTATATTATCTGACTTATGTTGATACGTGTTCGTTTGTATTTATTTAATATACTGGGCAATTATTTTTTAATTCTAAATGTCCTGTGTATTTTCAGAATATTGTAACACTCCCTGTTCGCCACCAGAGGGCAGCAGCTGACCATGAATGAAGTTGTCCCCACTCACTATACTCAGCAACTTTGTCTCCACTGGTGTCAATTATGCTTTTATTTCAATTATTACACAGATTTGATGTAAAAAATCACACAGAGTTTGTTCCCTTATACAGTCTGTCCGGCTCTTTGTACGATGTTTATTACAACAGATAATTGCGGTTTTTAAGCGCACTTCGACACCCCTCTTTAGAGATGCGACGCTTACATGGAGTATAATCCCAAACCACAAAAATCCTTTATCGTCACATTCAGCCTTCCAGACTATGACTTTGTACTGTTTTCACACACATTTTATCTCATACAGTCAGGCAAATTTGTATTGTGCGATGTATATTTCAACAGATAGCGTGACTTCCTGAAGCAAGCTTCTACAACCTCCTCACGGTGATTGCGGCTTCAGGTACGGAGTCGAAAATCAGTCAACAAAATCTCTTTATCGTCACGTTTAATGAGCCTGATTAACCCCACAGCCGTTTTGTGATGAGATTTCGGTCGTTCCAAATAATTAGTTGGAGGTCGCGTCTCTCTCCTCCTCTATCACCCACCATATAACAATTACAGAAATTGTATACATTTAAAGCACCACGAAAGGTAACCGCATTAATCAATCTTATCATGATCTGCGGGGAATTTAACCCATCTGTTTTTTACACCTTTGCAGCCTTTAATTAAAGCACGGCAAGGCAACCGTATTAATCAATGTTATTTTGACTTACGGGGAATTTAACCTATACATCTTTTACAGCCTTGCAGTCTTCGTTTCTTAGTGAGTGAAGGGCCGGGACTGACCTACCCGCCTCTCTCAAACACTATTTTTGCTCTAGGTCCAGGACTGAATACCCGACTCTAAGCACTTCCCCAATATCCCCAACTTGGAATATGTATTGTATTTCCCACCGTGACTAAGAACACTGAGAACGCTGCTGACAACTCTAAATTTTTTAGTATAATCAATCACAGATTTTTGATAGTCAAAACAGGTGTCTGCTCACCTTTTGTATATGGCCATTGGTTTAGTTGTCACCAGTATCTCTGTGTCCTCCCCCTGGACTGGATTCCGTCCCCTGGCTATCGGTGTCCCTTTCTAGAGATCAGCACTCATCACGTCGGCAGGTCACCACTTGTTGGAGCAGAACACCTATTGTGGTGGCTGATAGCCACCCCCTCTGCTACGCGCCGTTCGTTGGATGAGGCTGAAATCTCTATTAAATAAAGAAAGGAATTGAAAACACCGGAATCAAAAGTTATAACAATTATCTGAGTTTACTTCTGGTAGGAAACCAAACACATATACAAGTTATACAGAGTACTCCGGCCTTCAGGTTTGTGATGCGATGCGGATACAAGTATCGGGACCAGCCTTCAACAAACCAAAAAAGCATTTTTACATACAAAACCAACAGTATTCATATCTATATTTTGGGGCGGAGATGTGTTGACTTTTCCCTTCCCCTTTTATTCCAAAGCGAATAAGAGAGTCCGTGAGGAGGAGCTGTCTGAGCTGCTCACCTCCCCCAAGTGTTTTTACTGGCTGGATTCACTTCTGGTCGGGTTCAATAGTTCTGACCAGAATGTGAAATTCCAAAGTTTCACAAGGTCAAAAGTCAACCCTTATCTCCGTCCCGATCTTCACTCCCTTACCTTCCCATGGGAGTTTTTCACATAAACTATTCCTTCTCCGACATTTAAACCTTTGTGCAGATATTTAATGATGTCTTTAACGACCTTAAAAACAACATCTGGTGTAGGGGTGAAAAGTAGAGGTGTGTGTGTGAAACAGCATCCCTGGGTCAGTGAGTTGTAAGAGAGAATATCATTTCTATATATGTGATTACCCAAAACCGTTGTGATTACTTAAAACAGTTCAAACAATACATGTTCACTAAAATACAATTCAAAATAATATATGTTTACTTCAATACAGTGTAGAATCATATCTTTTTACTTCAAACTGCTGATATCAAAATCTGTTTAACCTGTTAGACCCCAAGCCTGTTTTTCAGGTTTCAGGCTCGAAAATGACATGCCCAGAACAAATGACTATAACTTCACTTCTAAAAGGGTTAAATTAATCATCTTTTTTCTCAAAGCAAGGTTACATCTGTGAGATGGATGTAGAAGTGTCAGAATCAATATAGATCTTTCTGTGTCAGAGTGAATTCAGATGGAACATAGTAAAAAAGTGTAAATTCTTACCTCCGCCTAACAAAAAACCATTACTTATAGTGAAAACCACCCTTGAATGATGGGTTAGTAGCCTAAAAGCTTTAGGAATCAAAATTATAACATATAATAAGTACCCTGTATCAAGATTGAGGCAAAACAAGTGAAAATTGACCTTTTTAGAGATATTTAGGGAAAAAAATAAGCTTTGGGCACATTTGGGCACATCTGGTTCCATCAGTGCCATTTGACCTTTTTCAGGTACCAGACTGTAAAAATCATTTTATAACATTGAATCATCACTATAGTTATTCATTCCATAAAAAAAAAATAAAAAAAAATAAAAAAAAATTATTATTGTAAAATTTAACCTGCTAATTATTGTCATGGATTTGACAACTGATGTTGTTTATTTGCTATGTTCTGGCTGCTAGCTCAGTGAGTTCTGGCCGTGCAGTGATGAGACCTATGCCAATGGAATCTGTGGAATCTCAGCTTTCAGATGATGTGTTGTTTGTGCAGAAAGTATAATTATAAATGATAATTTTTGTGAGTTATGAGCAGAAATAGCATTAGTCCGTATTTGCTAAGGGCTCATTGAAAGGCTTCTTGTGGGAATTATTATTATTTTTTTTTATTTTTTTTTCATATAGTCAGTTAGCTGAGTTTCTTCCCGTCAGCTGGGTGTGGAACATTAATAGTTTCATAAATGACACTTCAGAGATCACACTGGTGCTAGCAGATGTAGCATTTTCGGACCCTTCGGAGGGTCCTTGGGGTTTAACAGGCTAACTGAGATTCCTCTGTGATGCTCAGGTAGTGTGGTGAGATCTGAGTGATTATCATTTTAATTAAGTGGTGTTTTTTGTCAGTTAAACATAATTTTTATTATCCCAGAGACTATATTATCCTGATACATTAACATCAGTGTTTGACACATGTTGTGTTTAGTGCAGCTGTGTGTTATTCACCTGTAATCTGTTTATCATGTTTGACTGTTGACCGTCAGACATTTAATACATTATTTCATTTTAATTGAAATAAATCTCCTTCCTTATTCGTGCTGGTTTGACTGTAGAAATTCTTAATAACTTGTGTGGTAGTGTTTATATTGTTTTTCAAGGTTAGATCAGAGGATCACAAAGTTGCAAGAAAATGAAACAAAATGTTCTCTTAGAAATTGTTTGGATTAGTTTAGCAAAAATCAATACAGTTAATCATTAAGTCGATTAATGTTGATATCGTTTGTTGTCAATAAGTATCAGACAATATTTAAATAATAAAAACATAAAAACCTCAAATTTGGGCAACTGTTTGGATTATTTTCTTGATAAATGATTTTAACGATGTACAGTTGTTTAAATTGGTATGGATATGGATTAGAAAGTATAGCTGGCATTAAACTAAACATCATAAACAAGGAGTCTCGTTTAAAATAAAACATATTAAAAATGCTGACAAAGCCCTGACTAAGTCTTTAAGTTGTGGATGTAGAAATTTTTGTCCCATTTTAAAACTAACATTAATCTTGTCTTTATATTTGAATAGCAGCATTTATTTCACCATTATTGAACATTTATCAATGTGTTTGTTACTGCCCATTAGATGTGAATCTCTTGTTCTCTACGTGATCAGGAAGAAACATTAATGGCTTCTGTCCCGAATTACTTACTAAATATCAAAGCTGAAACAGATTCACTTTTCTATTTAAGAAAAAGGCATTTAAAAACAGTCATTAAAAACAACACAATCTACCTGCATTGCAATTACTGTAAACGTGTAATAACGTGGTTTAACCACTAGGTGATGCGGGTTAAAAAACGGTCAAATGTACTGCTGTTTCCGGTTTAGTTTACGACGGATATATTTAGTTATCCACACATATATTGTTTTGATATTTGTAACACAAAAGTGATGGAAAAAACCCACAGCAACACAGAAAATATGGTCTTAACATGACCCAGCGGTCTAGTTAATAAAAAATTATAATATCAAACAAAATATTACTATTAACTTTATTGTGAAATTAAAACAGAACGGTAAAAGAATGGTTTCCGGTCTATTCTGAGGCCCGATCTCTGTAGATAAATAAAGAACTACGACAGATGTGTAATATTTAATGCAGCCGAACCATTTATTACAATGCATGTACTGTATGTGATGACTTTCAAAGAGTAAAGCAAGCACTGCTGAATAAAGTATGATTTGATCTTTTCCGAAACGTTTTCTTTTCATATGGAATACATTCGGAGGTCAACCAATCACAGAGCTTGAGGACTAATCACGGGGTTTGTCGAGCAAAGCGGATGCTGCAGTCCCAAACGATAGCTGAGGATTATGGGTAGTGTAGTGTCTTCAGCCATCCTAAACTCCGATACAACTATTTGTTTTTCAGAATTGAAGGGGAAAAACACAAAAGCATTGTCCACAATTTAAACCAATCAATGTTGTGTAATTAACAAGGATAATCTGGTGTTTTTGAGTTGATGAGTAGTTCAGATATCACTGTAAAATCAATCGACAGTAAGGAGAATACTTACTTCCGGGTGTAAAATTCTCCGTTATCCAATGGGAATGGACGCTCACATTGCCTATAACTGCCGCCGACATGGACGAATGCTGTACTTCCCTGACCCCTGGATTCCACTGGGTCCGTCTGCGTCGCGTTACGGCCGCATTACGGCCGCATTACGGCCGCATTACGGCCGCATTACGGCTGCACTCCGCGGCGTTCGCAAAGATCGCGGCCACTCTAGTCAATGGGTGCTATTCCACCAGACACGCCGCGTTACAGCTCAGAAGCGTCCCAGAAGCGCCTCAGTGCTGGGCTCTGCTCAAAATAGGATGCAAGTCTATTTTCGACGCGACGCAAGGCGTTGCAGAGGCGCCGGTCAGAGCATCCGGCCCATCCCCAAAATAAACTAATTTTGCAGACCCTATCCCTCCGTAGTCTTTCAAGTAGGAGGAGGAATGCCAGCGTTCTCCTCCGGTTTACAGGCACTGTGTAAATTATACATATAGAATAATTATGATGATGAATGCATTTTTTTACCACTGAAATACAGCAACACATCTTTGATTCATGTCGTTTATAACTGGAATATTACAATTATTATTAACTTTGTCTATACTGTACAAAGTAGCCTGTCCAGGAAATATGCCCAAATCAACAAAAACTGCGAGCCGGCAGGCAAGACGCTCCGCTTCTGAAATGCTTCTGAAACGCGCCCGGTAGGGTTTGACGCCGGAGGAGGCAGGACCAAAACCGCGGCGCAGCCATGACGCGACGCAGACGGACCCGGTGGAATCGAGGGGTGAGCGTCAAATACCGCCGCCGATGGGAATACATTGCAATCAGTTGAAAGCTCTTTGCGTCCGTCTATGAAGCTGAAGGAGACTCGGTGCGTCACAACTGCACGCCAAAGGACCCTGACCAAGCGTCGCTATTGGACGATCAGGGAGTGAGACTGTGTTGGTTTGTGTGAAATGCAATTCTCTGTATTCAGGGAGGTTTGTGAGTTCTTTCATAAATAAACGGTTCACTCTCGTCATTGACATGTTTGTGTACAAGTCAGTACAAATCTTGTTCTTTTATGTGCTTGTGAATTTCAAAAGGATCTGTAAAAATAAACGTATTTTACAGTGTTTTTTCAGTTTCTAGGAAATTGTCATTCAATTAAAATGATGTTCGAATGTGTAAGACAATTTTATATAGTGAATATTTTGATTACAAATTATGACATTTGGTTTTGACCTACGTATTTGATGTAGGCATAGGCCTACATTGATTTTTTATTTCAATGTGTATTATTGTGTTTTTTTTACTAGCAACTCTCAGAGATTTCACGTGAAATTCACTGTATTATCTGTTAATTTATCCAACACCACCATCTGCTGGTAGGATAATTAATTGTCAGTTTTCAGTTATCTAATTGAAACGTTAGAAAGTGAAAGTGAAACCTGATTTACCGCCATTTCTGAACGGAGCCGAGACGCCATTACAGGGTGGAGAATCTTCACTTTAAACACAAACTAGAAGGATACCAATCTGTTATTCAAAAGGGACACTGATTTGGTGAGTCGTGCTGTTAAGGGATCATTGAAATATCTGCGAAAATGGCTGAGAAAACCGCTCTTTTTGAAAGTTTCCTGAGCTGCCATGTGTGTTCAGAGACTTTCAGAGATCCTGTGTCTCTGAGCTGCAACCACAGCTTCTGTTCGAGCTGCCTGCAGAAATTCTGGGAACAAAGTAAGAACAAAAACTGTCCCATTTGTAAAAGAAAGTCCACAACGGATGAACCGGCAGTGAATTTAACTCTGAAGGAGCTGGCTGACTCCTTTGTTGAGAAGCAGAAACAATGTTCACCTGAGACAGAAAAAGAAAAGGAGAAAGAGGAGGTGGTGTGTAGTAAACATCCAGAAGTCCCTTATTGGTTCTGTAAGGATGAAGATAGAGCTGTGTGTCCTGTCTGTGAGTTTTCTCTCCACCAGAGTCACAAGGTGGTTCCTGTAGAACAAGCAGTCATTGAGCTGAAGGACCTGCTGAAATCTGACTTAGAGTCTCTGCAGGACAAGAGGGACAAATACAAACGAGTGGAGGAAACATACAATGAAGTGACTCAAGTGTCCAAGAAGCAGCTGCTGTCCACAGAGAGGCAGATCAGAGCAGAGTTCAACAAGCTCCATCAGTTCCTGAAAGAGGAAGAGGAGTCCAGACTGGCAGCTCTGAGGGAGGAAGAGGAGCAGAAGGGGAAGACTATCAGCAGAGAGATGAAGAGCATTCAGGAGCACATCTCCTCTCTGTCACACAGTATCTCTGCTGTTGAAGAAGAGCTGCAGAAACACAACGGGCCCTTCCTCAGCAGTTATAAAGCCACTCAGAGCAGAGCCAGAGTCCAGAGCTCACTGTCAGACCCACAGCTGCTCTCAGGAGCGCTGACAGATGTGGCCAAACACCTGGGCAACCTGTCCTTCAGAGTCTGGGAGAAGATGAAGGACCAGGTCCACTTCAGTCCTGTCATTCTGGACCCAAACACTGCAAGCCGCTGGCTCTATCTGTCTGATGATCTGACCAGTGTGAGACAAGGAGACAAAGATCAGCAGCTTCCTGATAATCCAGAGAGATTCACTAAGTATGCTGATGTTCTGGGCTCTGAGGGCTTCAGCTCAGGGAAACACAGCTGGGAGGTGGAGGTGGGAGATCATCCTCACTGGGTTGTAGGTTTGACTAAAGAGTCAGCTGACAGGAAGGGAAAGACATTTGTCTCACCAGAATATGGAATCTGGTGTTTAAAACATCGCAGTGGAGAATTCACTAATGGTGATGGTGAGACTGTCAGAGTGAAGAAGAATCTCCAGAGGATCAGAGTCCAGCTGGACTATGACAGGGGGGAGGTGTCCTTCTACGACCCTGAAGACATGACTCCCATCTGCACTCACAGAGACACTTTCACTGAGAAACTCTTCCCATGGTTCAGTATTGGAAAAGCTGGTGATGCTAAAACTGCTGATATCAAAATCTGTCAAACTGAGATTCCTCTGAGATGCTCAGGTAGTGTGGTGAGGTCTGAGTGATTATCATTTTTAATTAAGTGGTGTTTTTTGTCAGTTACAAATATTTCCACTTTGTTGTTTAAAGATGTCAATCCTGTAATTTGAAAGTTCAATAACATTCAGAGATTCAGGTTACAGAAATAGATAAGCCCTTTTCTCTTTCAGAGGATAACATAATGTAACACATTCACTTGTTTTATAATATTAAATATATTTTCAAATTCAGAATGACACACTAAAGCATAAATGTAGTTAGAATTAAGAAAATGGTGTTTGTAATGTAAATATGTTGAAAACGGGTTCATTTAAAGCAATCACTTTGTGTCACTTGTTTCTATTAATGTTTCCAGAGATGAGAAATAACCATACTGTACGTTTGATCTTTATGTGTAAATCATTTAAACACAAAGCATTTTCTTTACTTTTTATTTTTGTACTTTCACAATAACTTATTTTTACCCAATTAGTTAATAGCTCTCTCTAAACGGTATTATCTCAAAGACTATCCTGATACATTAACATCAGTGTTTGATACATGTGTTTAGTGCAGCTGTGTGTTATTCACCTATAATCTGTTCATCATGTGTGACTGTTGACCGTCAGACATTTCATATATTATTTCATTTTTGTAATAACTTGTGTGGTAATGTTTATATTTCTCTTCAAGGTTAGATTAGAGGAACACAAAGTTGCAAGAAAACAAACAAAATGTTCTCTTAGAAATAGTTTGGATTAGTTTAGCAAATATCAATAAAGTGAATCATTAAGTCAATAAATGTTGATATCGTTTGTTGTCAATAAGTATCAGACAATATTTAAATAAAAACATCAAAACCTCAAATTTGGGCAAATGTTTGGATTATTTTCTTGATAAATGATTTTAACGATGTACAGTTGTTTAAATTGGTATGGATATGGATTAGAAAGTATAGCTGACAATAAACTAAACATCATAAACAAGGAGTCTCGTTTAAAATAAAACATATTAAAAATGCTGACAAAGCCCTGACTAAGTCTTTAAGTTGTGGATGTAGAAATGTTTGTCCCATTTTAAAACTAACCACTAACATTAATCTTGTCTTTATCTTTGAATAGCAGCATTTACTTCACCATTATTGAACATTTATCAATGTGTTTGTTACTGCCCATTAGATGTGAATCTCTTGTTCTCTACGTGGTCAGGAAGAAACATTAATGGCTTCTGTCCCGAGTTACTTACTAAATATCAAAGCTGAAACAGATTCACTTTTCTATTTAAATGATCATTTTATTGATAACACCTTAACACATTGTCTTGAAGTTATAGAAACACGTGTAAGAGGACAGAGCAATAATCGGAAGAGTCAGGGAACTAGAGGGTTCATATTATTGTACAGAAGAAAGTGGCAAAAAGAGACAATGGGAAAGCAGAAAGAGCCAACTGCAGAGAAATGATCGAGTTAGGATGGAAACAGAGGGAATGGGAGAAAGAGGGAAAGACCCCCGACGAAGAGGTGCCGGCTCCGTGTTGTCTGTGCCACTTGTTCACTGTCTGGAGAAAGAAGATGGCCGAGGTTCAGAGAGAAACAGAGGCTCCAGTTTATCTCAGTAACGCTTCACGTGAAACAAACAGCTGACAGGAAGGCAGCAGAGAGTAGTGATTGTAGTTTATATGTGTATATCACTTTTTTTCATATTAGCTTTAATCATTCCTACAACATCATGATTTATCAAAGTTTTTACATTTATTTAGTTAAAAATGTAAAAAATGTCTGTGATGAAAAGTCTTTTGATACAATGCGATACAAGGGAAAATGATCATGTATCAACATCATGATGTAATCAGAACGGGTGTTTAGGACATAATTGTGCAGCCCTGATCAATCATTAAATTGTGAGCTTCTCCTTGTTCTACAGAGATAAACCCCTTTGTGGTTCTCAGATACGTCAAAAGGCAGCCCTTCTGCACTGACAACACAGAGCCCCATAGGAAAGCATGCAAACTCATTTTCATAACATGCTCATCTTCACGGTCAACATCCTCATGGTGCCACAATCATTAACATCCTGATCAACTTCATGATATCATTTTGAGACAAAAATAGTTATATGCACTTAAAAAGCTGAGAAAATAGACAGAGAAAGGTTGAGTATACCAGCATTCAGGAGAAAATGAGAAACCAAATATAAAACAAAACAGCAAGTGTCCTGTTGACTGTCATGCAAAAAAAATGCCAGCTACGATGCTAACTAGCTAGCTAGCTGCAGTGTTTATTACCGTCTACTACCTCATTTGTGAAACTATTATGGTGATCATCAAGGGTAGTAAACACACTATGAAGAAAAAAATAACAACACCTGTGTACTGTACATGCTGCTATCTCCTTTTTTTGGAAGGGGGTGGGGGAGTCTGGTCAGCACGATCACACATTGAACACCTGCGGGTAACCTTTGAACTTTTACTTTCAGTACAGGGTCAACTTAACACTGTTACTTTATGAGACACGATTTCATAACTACTTATCGGTTGACCTTGATAAAAAAAACATCCTTCCTTTGATAAAAGCTTCATCCCCTAAATAAGGAGCGATGATGGGACAAAATACAATCCTGTATTATATGAGATTTAAAGAGATAGATGGTAATGACCTAAGTGGAAGAGAACGGTGGACACCATAAAACAGCAGAAATAATGTTAAAGACAACTTCAAACAAAGGTTGTAGAGGAAAAAAAGCAGGAAAATAATAATAAATCACACCATGTTGGTCGTTACAAAAAAACAAAACACATGCAGGACGCAAATTGGGTGTACTATCCCTTTCAAAACAGTGTGTTTTACATGGAGTAGTTTCCCTTTAAACAACAACAGACAGTACTTGCACGAATGCATGAGCTGTAAAATAGGAAAAAAAAAACAATACAAATATCCACTTAAAATAAATAAATAAATATTCAAAATAAATAGAAACCTGAGGACTATTCACCAAAGCGACTGCCCGGTCTCTTTTATATCTTGGTCTGACCAATAGGAGCGAGACAAACGTGAAGGCAGCCAATGGTGGACAAGCGAAGTACAGAGGAGCTGATCGCAAGAAAGAAACCCAACAAAAACGGTTTTCAGTGCTGCAAACTCAATCGGATAAATCCTGCCACCGCTGGCACAAGCACTTCATATCATAAAAAGCTGATAAAAACACAATACATGAAAAAAAACATAAAATTCACAAGATAAAAAGTCCACATCTGAAGGCAGGGGACTGATATGTCCTCCGAAATAACGCCTTCTCTTTCCATCCTCACACAACACAAACCTCAAATATATAATCTATAGACTTGTAAAGAAAACACACACACACACACACACACACACACACACACACACACACCTAATGCTATGGCATGAAACTCCTCACACTTGTAGAGGCTTTAAACACACACTTTTGAGTCTTCATTATTGATGTGTAAGTGTTGAAAGTTACTGGAAGTGAGAAAGGTCAATCCTCCTTTAGACCACTTTAGTTATTTTGATTGTTAAAAGAGGTGTTTTCAGAAAAGCACAGAGATTTGAGCATAACAAATTATCGTGACTTTTAAGAAAAACACTTTATGCTTCAAGCGGATATTCAGCGGTTGCCTAGCAAAGTCTCAATCATACATCAAAAAAAATGTAGATTTTGTCTGGATTATTATTGTGTGAGAAAGGGCAGCACAATAAAACATGTCAGTTTTACTCCAACTGTAGCAAAAATAGTGCTCAGTTTCATGCGTTTACAATAACTAACTTTGAAGTCAGTATGATATATTACACTTGTTATCATGAGCCCCCAAAAATATGTAAAAGAACGTCTGAATCTAGTTAAAAATATCTCATCCCAAAAATGTAATTAAATGTAATGATTTTTTTTAAATTAATAATTTTTGGTTCCCATGACATCTGCTTTATTATCTGGATGCTTTTCTCACAGAACATGTGGAAGTTGTCATATATAATTAAGTCTGTATGTTCTTTCATAGATTTAACATCTTGTAATATTAAGAAAATTGTAATGACAAACTGATGTTTTTCTCATGATAGCAGCAGTACAAAACCACAAAGGGAACATTCTTGCTTACAGAAAAAATTTATTATTTTTTGAGACCTCCCCATTCAGGGTGCGAGAGCGCAGGGCTTTCCACCATGACAGCGTTTTAATAGATGGAGAGATCAGGGTAAAACTCCTATTGCGTGCGTTTTTGTATGTTTGAATTTCTTTGAGACAGGAAGACACTGAGCTTAGATAACCCATTCTACGGTGGTTGACATTGCAGCGAGGGAAACACCAGATTCCTCAAACTGTCATTACATCTCGCACTATGTATGGGCTCTCCTTTTGCACATTCACACTTTCATAAAGACTCATTCTCAACATTCACACATCGGACCCACCCCTTCCAAAAAAAAGAACTCCCCAAAACAATCAAAAACATGTGCATGTGTTTGGGCGCATAATCATAGCTAACATACAAGAAGCAAATGACCAAAAACTGCCAATATCATTTTCCACTTAATAGCCACAATAAAAAACAGCCACTGTTAATATAGGGGAAAAAACATGCTTCCTTAAAAAGATAAGAGAAAAAACTAAAAACCCTTCGACTCTAAAAACCACTGGCATCAGAAATGTTGAATTATACAAATTACATATACAATTGCAACTGTGTGATGATAATAATAATAATAATAATAATAATATAGTAATGATAATAATAGATTTTACTTAAAACTTTACATAACGTATTTCCAGTGCAGTTTTTATGTCACACAAGTGTAGATTCACAGGAGGACAAGAGGGTTGATATAAGGAAGAAGGAAACCCCCCCCCCCCCCCAACACCCAGTGTGGTGAGGGATGTCGAGTTGTCGTTTGATAGTTGTCAGAAGATGTTGTAGGACAGGTGACAAGCAAAGGGGAGAGTAGTAGTAGAATAAAAAGAAGAAGAGATGCATGCTGGGGGTTGAGGCTAGGCGTCCAGTGAAGGGGGGTTTGTTGATGAGGGGCCTTTCCCCAAACCGACACTGGACTTGTTCTTTCGTCCCCTCCTCGTCCTCCTGCTGATCACTCCTGACAGACAAAGATATGGCATTCCACCCTGAAAAAGAAAACAAAACCGCATTATTAATGTATGACTGAGATCAGATCTTCATAATGAAAGGAATAGTTCGACATTTTGGGATATTGGCTTATTTGCTTCCTGCCAAATGTTTCTATGGATTACTGAATTAATGCTGATGATGTCATCCCCCTTATTAACACAACACATTCAAGTATTGATCAGTTTCTTCCGCTTGAAGAGGCCCTATTATTCTTTGTAGGGTTTTCTCTTTCCTGTAGTGTGTTATATAGGTTTTTGTGCATGTAAATGGTCTGCAAAGGCTACAATCCGGCCAGCTAACCAATCAGAGCAGACTGGGCTCTGGTTTCAGACAGAGGGTGAAATGAGGTGCTGCAGCACAGGCAGTATGAGAAAAATAAAGAGCTTGTTGAACATTAAAGCATGGCGTAATGTAAGGCACACAATGCTATGCAGAATCTTTAAAACTTGATTTATTTTCACTGCAGTTTTAGAACAAATTGCTGACAGGTTTATTTATACAAATTGGACAATGTTTGTTGGTTTGAATTTAAATTATAAATATTTAAAAACAAGTCTGACTGGAATCATACAAAACGTAACCTGTTAAGCCCGAGAGACCCCGGTACCGGGGCCCTCCCGCAACATCTTGCAGGAAACAGTGTCTGAGGGCATGTTCATTTAATAAAACTATGAATGTTTTATATCCATGTAACGGGAAAAAACTCATCTAACTGATCATTTAAAAAAAAACAGCAATGCAGACAATGTGCACAATAATATACTGTTGTCTTTGCTGTATTAATGTGATCGCTCAAAGTATGTCATTCCCTCAAAGTGCACAGTAAAGGTACAACAGCTGCAGCTCCTTTCCAAAGAACAAGAGTATGTGCATTACATCTCCTGCTGTCAGTGTTTCGCTCATACCTCACTGAAGTGGCGCAGCCGGGGCGCCCGAGCAGTGGAAGTGGATGTTCTGCCACTTGCTGTCTCTGCGATGCCAGACGCGAGTTTCCTCTGACTGGCTGGACCGCGGCCAACCCTGGTTGTCCACAAACTGAGTCAGGCGGATGTAAGCGATGCAGGCCGCGTCCTCGCCGATCATGTGGACGTGGGGGTTGAGGATGGTGGTGTGGATGGGCTTGCTGTTCTTTGCCAAAACTGAAAAAGAGGACAAAAACAATGTCAGGTGAAAGAATAAGCAAGGGAACACTAATTTGGAAGTTCAATTAACTTTGTAATGTGATTTGCAAATGTAACACAAATAATTTTTCATTTGAGTGGATGTGGGAGTTTTGTGGGAATTTTGTGGGAATTTCTTTTAGGGTGGAGCTTTGAATGTTTAACCGTATTTGACCCATTTTTTATCTAATGTGGTCTATTTCTGACACCTGAAACCGGCAATAAGGCAAATGTATAGATGAAAGAAGACATTTTTCTTTCTGAGCCCCAATTTGTGATTTGTGAGACGTGTATGCTAACATTAGAATTACAAATGGACCAGATAAATAAATAGAAAGATTTAAAGAAAAAGACAATTATCACCAAATCTATCAATCTTACGGTTTTCAAAGTAGAATCTATGGAAATCCATGCCCTCTACCAGGTTGCCCAGCGCCTCCGGCTCAAACGAAGTGAGTCCAGGGTCACAGATCTTACTGAAGAGGAAGGAGAAGGGCATGTTAATGACGACACACATTCATTTTAAACTATGCATTTTACCCACACACAAACAACGCAGACTCACGCATATGCCTCAAAGTCTCCATTGTTGATTGCTTCAATCAGCTGCTCGGTGATCTTGATAATTTCCTGTTTGCGTACTGCAGAGGAAAAACAGACACAGGCACAGAAAATATATAGAATCAGAGGCTATTGCAACAGTTGGACGTATCGAGGCGCAGTTATTCTGGTTTTCACAACAACCCATGTGCTCAGGCAAAGGCAGTTAGAACCCTAACATCTTGTTTTATGTGAAACAACTCAAAATAAAGTTTCAACTTCTCTGGTCATTATTGTAATGAGCTGGAAATGTATGCTTCATAGTGAACTTGCTTTAATTGCATTTTTTTAGAACCATCTGGGAAAAATGCACTGAATGCACTCGATTAGTTGGGTACACAAATAATATCAAACGTACAAAAAGACATGAGTCAGTCATGTGATCCTGATGGACTGTCACAAACACCACAAACAATGTCACCTGTGTATAAGTGTACATCACAACTATTCAAAAGCAACCAAACAATGCTTACATCTGCGTGCAGTATGCCGACTGAAGATTATGTTAATAGAAGCAAAAATCACACACATCCAGAGGGTCCAACTTCTAACCTGAAGAGCAGTTTACCACACGTACAATGTATGTTATGCTCCAAAAGCAGAATACACTGGCTGTTACACACGCTTGCTCACGCACAGGCCTGCAGTGAGTGGATGTCATTCGGTTAGGACCCGTGATTGGCGAATATGTGTAAGGTCGGTACTCACTCTGGGAAGAAGACAGGGGAGGGCTGGAGGGGGAGTGGGGGGGATGTGGGGAGGTGGTGTGTGCGTTTAGAGGGGTGGGCCTGGCGCTAGGCACCGGCGCGGGTGCAGCGTCAGAATCGAGCACAGGGGCCGCCGGCGCCGCCCTGCGAACGCTGCTTACCAGGTCAGTGAGCCGAGACACTGAGGGCCAGCAATGCAGGAAGGATGGGTGGATGGTGGTGGAGTAATGTAAATAAATAGATTAGAGAACAAAAAGGGATGAAGAAATACAAAAATCCTCTTATTTGTATATTTTTTGTAACATTTTCTGCACTATACTTCTGCTGCTGTAATACAATAAATGTCACCGTTGCAGGACAAATAAAGGAATTCTGATATTGAGGGAACTATACATTAAATTACATTATCTACATTACTAATTATAACAGGTTTTTTGCACTACAAAGTCCTTACAGAAGAAGATTTAGAGGTCCGGTGGTTTTCATTAAAACCAAAGTTTTATATATTTTCATTTATCCGAAAGCCTTTCATTTGTATACAATTATTAATAATTTCCAGGTATCCTTCAAAAATGTAAAACATTTAATGGATGCACAACTACGCAATTATAATCATATTTAAAAAATAATAAAAAACATTCAATTTGACTACCTAGCGTCACCTGTTTTGATGTCCGTTTTTGCTTATAACGTCGCAAATTCGTATAATTCAGTGATAATGTGGGTACCCATCGATTCTATCCAATTCATCCATACTGAAGTGCTAAATCTGGTATAAACCATGTATAAAAAGGGAATTATAATTAATTTATCGATATATTTTATATTCTGCAGTTATGGGTTGTTTTAAAATGTAATAGCTTTATAGTGCTAACTTAAAATGTTTGACAATAAAGAAAAACTGCACAAATCTTATAGGGATTTTTAAAGATGCAGAAAAAACTAGGGATGCAGATCAAATAAAACACTACGTTGATCTTAAAAATAAGCAGTTTTACTTATTTTCCAACATGACATAAAAGACGGAATCGATCCATCTTCGCAGGCATTGACCGAGGAAGTGTGAATGCCGATTTATGTTTGATGTCCTCTATTTTCTCTTCCAGCGGTCGTCTACAGTACTCTCCCTTGTCTACTTACTCTGCATGGGGGTGTGTGGAGGGGAGGGGGCGGAGAGGGCAGCGGGAGGTGGAGTGCAGGATGTCCCTTCCCCGTCGGATGTGGGCCCTGAGCCCCTACGCACTGAGCCCAGCAGGTCAGCAAACTTTGTGGTAGCTGAGTTTAGGATGGAAGGAAGGGAGGAACATGGGAGACAGTGCACATGGGAGCATGTTGATGGCATGATGGCCATTAAGATGAAAAACAAAGTTTGCCACACAGATGTTGAAGGGAACACAGAACAAAAGTCATGCTTGGAAATGTCTGACAAACAAAGACGCAGATAGTCATGGAGCAGTCTTGTGTTGCTATTCCATGTGCGCCCATGAGAACGAGACTATGAGTTATTCTACAAACATGTTGCATTGGCAGACAGGGGGCGGGGTATAATATAGGAGTAGAAATACTACAAAGCATCTCACGGTTATCTAGAATGGCTTGTTTTTTTTCCTTCCCTATTTATGTTGTTATTGGATGTGTTAGACTGTCAACAAGTAGTATGGTGCCGTCTAAGAACACTGTAATGGAGACATAAAGCACAGTTTAAGTCAGGGGTACTAAGGGGGAATTAGTGGTGCTAAATGGTAGCACATGTATGCTTTTAATACATGCAGGGACGCTGGATGAAATACACACAAGGGAGGTTTTAGTCAAGTGGAATTGATAGTGCAGTGTGTGTGAGTGTGAGTGTGAGTGTGAGTGTGAGTGAGTGTGAGTGTGAGTGTGAGTGTGAGTGTGAGTGTGTGTGTGTGTGTGTGACAGGCTGCATTTGGAGGGCCATGCTGACTTACAGAACACAGCAGCTGAGGAGCCCTGAGAGCTATCGGGCTGGGAGCTCGTGCTGGATTGCGCCTTAAGCGAGCTGTTGTCTAAGCTCTTTCCTGATGATGTGCACACAAACAGAGAATGAGAGCAAACACACATATGAGGAACAGCGAGGAATGATGGGAAGGGCAGAGCGAGCGTGAGATGACATGGTGGGGGGGCAAATAAATACAAGATGATAAAACCCAGTCGAACTCTTTTCTTTTAATATGAAAATACAGCTACCTAAAAAAAAAGGGTTCCATAAATGTATGGTGTGTGTATGGGTGCATGTAAATGGTCTGCAAAGGCTAAAATCCTAACGATCCCTCCAGAGGGAGTTTCTCTCCCACACACTCCCCTCCCTGCCTGAAACGCCTCCATTGGACTCCTTTGTTTACTTCCGCATCAAAATGACATCACTATGTAACACTTGCGCTTCTATTGGCCAGCGCTCAAACACATTGTATTTAAAAGGCTAAGGGGCAGGACATCTCAAAGCGGTTGGCCAATCACAAGAGAGGGCTCTGGTTTCAGATGTTATAATCTCTTTAAGACAACTTGTGCTTTAAAAGTGGCAAAGTGTTCATTCAGACATGTGTGATTTACAGCATGGACAGATAGTTGACAGAGACATATAAAAGAAAAACAAGCAATGTTTGCAAGATATGTAAGACACGGTACTCGGAAAATAGGACTTCTCTTGCTCTTGAGTTCACAGTGAAAGCTGGGCTACGTGAGGAGAGACCAGTCTGACAACTCTGGCAGTGGGCAGTAGGAAGTCTAACAAATACAAAAAAACAAAACATCTGTGTCGAAAAAAATAGATAAATAAGAAAAGCGAAAGAAAAGGTCACGATCTTGATGTGATTTTATGATCTGTTGGGTTATTAAACACAAAACTTTAAGAACCACTGCTTTATTGGAAGTCTGGCTAGTGAACAGAGGATGGATGATGACAATGGTGTTGGCCATGATAATGAGAGGGAATGTTACTCATTACCCCTTGTCTTTTTATTCAGCTGGCATGGAGGGAAACGCAACACATTAACACTTTGGAAAAAATGGATGGCACGATACTGGCAGGAGAGTATTTATTCTAACTGACGTGAAACTTGCACATAACAAAAGTGTAGATTAACGACCCACAACAAGCAACCCCCAGAAAACTCTCCATGGCATGTTCTCTACTGTAAACTTTTGAGAGTAACAGAGCACATATGTGTTAGAATGCTCCGAGAGCCAGCACAGGAGTTGGGTTACAAACCAGCTGTCCAGCACTCACTGACCTGACAAGATCCTACACAGGCTGACATGAAACAAACTGTTCCACGAACCAAACACGACTTCCTCACACACACTCACCTGGCTCTTGTAGTTTTCTCTGGCGCTAACCGTGCTATCTGCGGCCTCGTCTCTTAAGAGTCTTAAAACTGCTGTGTGAGACTAATGCTATCCAAGTGTGTTTTTAACCCGCACTCTCCCTTTCCTGCCACCAGGGCTACATTTAGACACCTCCCCCCTTTAGCCCTGACCCACCTCCCAAGGTGCCCTTGCCCTCTCCTGTCAGAGGGACAGGGCGGTGGGGCTCCAATTTGAGACCTTGGATCGGAAGTAAGTATGGTAGGGGGAGCATACTTTTCACAGTGTGCAAAGGGAAAGTACAGTAGAGCCTGAGGGAATAAAAGGATTTTCAGTTGACCCAATGCTACTGTGGGCTACATTGCTCTTATCAAGGTTCATTGTAATATTTATCTAAATAAAATATAAAAAGAACAAAATGGACAACGTTCCAAGTAAGAATACAATTTCTAAAAGTTTCATTTGTTAGATCCCAAGAGACTTGTGCTTAAGACGAGGCTTTGTTTAAAACCTTAAAGCCAGTCTAGCTGATCGTGCTGTTCTCTTTTTCCTGGAACATTTAAGGAATGTTTCACACTGACTGACACCACTTCTTATCCATAATTGTCTTGCTTGGCCATTCATTACTAACACCTGAGGCCAAAGGGTGAAGGTTATGAAACATTTTTTTTCCCAATACATACATTATTATGTACTATCACTTTTTGTAATCAAGCATGATCATTGCAATCAAATGTTAACTCTGAAAACAAAACAAAAAAATCCATCTTTACTATGCATTTTTTTTATACAATTTCTCTACAAATTAATAATATATAGTCTTACTGTAGGTGACATTTTTGTTGGAAAGGATCCTTAGTTACTTTCACTCTGAGCACATTTAAAAGGAGTAACTAAAGTAGTTCTACTTGATGTACTCAGTCCTGGTTCTTTTCTCTTAGAGCAACATGATTGCTCTGCTGTAGTTACAATGGCATTTGTGGCATGGCAGCAAAGCCTCCACAGGGAGGAGGAGAAAGAAGAGGAGGAGGAAGAGCACATTTGGTTCTGTATGCCTGCCACCAAAATGATAAATTCATGACCTGATTTAGAAGCATTTTACTCAGCTTGGATGTGGAGAACAGGGGTGTTTGAGTGTGTTGGCGTAGATAAGCAGAGACACACATAAACATAATCGCCCAAAACGTAAATTCAGTGGACCAAAAATGCTGGAGACAAACTCACTTGGTGACACACACACACACACACACACACACACACACACACACACACACACACACACACACACACACACACACACACACACACACACACACACACACACACACACACACACACACACACACACACACACACACACACACACACACACACACACACACACACACACACACACACACACACACACACACACACACACACACACACACACACACACACACACACACACACACACACACACACACACACACACACACACACACACACACACACAGCATGTTTCCGTGTCATTACCCCTTGTATCTCTGCAGTCTTACCTTTCACATCTTCATCCTCCACAGTGGTGTTGCTGCTGTCTGATGATCCCTGCAGATCAGAGATAGACAGTCAGTTTGGGTTGAAACATAATAGTGTAAACATCAGTGCTGAATGAATACACATAAAGCAACACATCACAAGAGAGGTAAGGAGTCTTGTTTACAGGAACACGGGCCAGTTACTTACTTACCATACTTAACGTCAAGTCTTCAAAAAAACGAAATTGGTAACCGAGCAACAGATATATTAAAACAAATTAAGCTTGATCCAATTCATACAACAGATGCCAAACAAAGTCACATCTTTGTTCAATGCTACAACCAGATAACCTTTGCAAGCATAAAGTCAAACCATGCCAGCACACCCATCAGCCTCGTGGCTCAATATGCCACTGTGTCAAATGTCATTCCATATTTGACTGTCGACCTCTTTTCTCTTTGCTACTCCAGGCAGAGCTCCCTGTGCTTCATTCTCAGTGTGTGTGCTTCAAACAGTGTGGACAAGTGACGTCTCTCCTCCACAGGGTGCTCTCGTCTCTTGCTGAAACTGACAGAAACTCAATAGGATGTGCTCCATCCCTTTTTCTATAGCAACAATGGAAGCAGGCAGAAGGGACTCTCAGTGGGCAATTAGCTGACATCTTTGAGAAATACTTCACTAACAATATGACCATATGTATGTCAATTACCACAAGTTCCCATCAATGCCATGCCTCTATGGTGAAGGAAGGATAAGAAACGGAGAAAGGTCTTGACAAATGGAAGTTTAACAACAGAAAAAACGATATCAAAACATCTGTTTACAAACCTCATATAAGTCTTGCAGTATAATCAAGTCTCATTTATCCAGTCAGATGCTCACTGCTTCCCTAACAAATGCATTTGGACTAAAACCGTACTATTTAATACACTTTGGACTTGCAGCGACTGTGCAAGCGTGACACTGTTCAGGTTTATGATTTAAATAGGAACTTTTTCATTAAGCACAGGTTTATCTACCTTTTCCTTCAGCCTTGCTGTCTTTCTCTAATAAGGCTTTCGCCGGGAATAAGTTATCTTCTGATTTCCAATTAGCAGAATAAAATGGGCCTACATTCCCCTGCACGTAGAGGAGAGTTTAGAGACTCTGTGACCTCAATAGAATTACACACGGGCACAAACAGCATCACGAACACAAAGCACCAAAGTGGTTTCATAGCCTTCTAAAGAGCATCTGGTTACCTGCATTAGTATGACACTTTTTGGGCACATTGCTGTAATTGAGCCTCACTTATTGCCTTGTAATATTTTTCGGCCAATATATTAAAGGAGAGGTGTCATGGCCATTTCCACAGATCATAATTCCATTGTTGAGGTCTACTAAAATAGATTTATACTGTGCAATTCTCCAAACTCACATTGGTTTCTCATACAGCATCTCTGTAAACTACTTGTATTCACTGAATTTCACTCTCTGCCTTTAACGGCTCGTTGTAGCTCCAATAGCTCCAGCCCCCACCCTCCCTGTGAGCACAGTGTGCTCTGATTGGTCGGGACGTTGTGAATCGCGCTGAGCTCCGTGGAGGTGTTGTTTCCTTGTTTAGGATACATAGCGAAACACAGCCAAACTCATCCTGAGCACACACAAACTCACAGCCGAAGTAAAAACAATAAGTGTGGCTTGATATTGAGTAAGAAAAAGGTTGATAAACGCTGTGAGAATGGGTCTGCAGAGAGAATTTTGCCGTGATCCCAACTGTCTGTTATCAGCCTGCAGCCAGGGAGGAGAAATCAGCAGATCTGCCTGCACTGTGTGTGTGTGTGTGTGTGTGTGTGAGGAAGTCCGTGGATTGGTCAATTTGGATCAATCAGCGGGGGCTTAACGTAACGGCTCCGCGGACGTAACGTAACGGCTCCACGGATTGGTCCATTTCGTTCCGGGTACGGCATGACATCATGCCGTACCCGGAAGAATCAAATGGACAATGACGTATCTCCAACGAGGCGTTTTGGGGAGGTATTTTCTGTGTTTTACTCGCTACAGGGTGTACTTTGAGGGTTTTGACTCTGCACACCGTTTACATGCATAAAAACCTTCATAACACACAAGGGGACGGGTAATAACCGGAAAAGCATGACACCTCTCCTTTAAGGCTTTTGACCAATTCAACTTAGACTTCACCTGTTTTTTGCAATGCTCGGATCAAAAAGGTCACTCATAAAACCTCATCTTCTTCTGATACCTGCTGTTGTAATTAATTTAAAGCAATGCATTTCCCTTTGAGATCCAACCCAAAATCTAATATAAAGTACTCTCAACAACCTATATTCTATGATCTAGGGAAATATTATTACGGTGGCCGACGGGTGCACACGTGCTCAAACAGGCCAAAACCCTTTCAGTTGGAGAAACGCGCTGCAGCTTTAGAAACGATGCAGATATTAAAAACACAAAACACTGCAAATACAAATCGCTGCAAGATGCTCAAAACACAACGGAAACGGGGACACTAAAAAGTGATGCACATAGCTGGGACCAGAGCGCTTGGTGACATTGGGGGATTATAAAGTTTGCCAACTGTCACTGGGTGGAGTTACTCTATTTCATATGTGTAAGTGTTTTGTCAGTATATTTAAAATGACTAGGTTAGCTAGCTACCTTACAGAAGATCTGCAATAAAAGAAAGGAATCATGTGATCACATTGTTGATAAAGCTTAAAAAAAACGTACACTTAAGGTAAGTTTCCGGTCAAGTTGGTGAAGATGTTTCTTCATTTGAATGTGTTTTCACACAATTGTGTTTATTTATTTGAAAGGTTTTTGAAAGTGCAGCGCGTTTCTCCAAATGGAAATGTTTTGGGCCGTTGCGTTTGCACCTGTCGGCCCCTGTACATTAAGCTACAAAGTGCTGTTTAATGAGAATTAAGGCAAGACAAGGTGACCCATGTGTCTGGATGACAGTGCTATATTTTTAACGTAACGTTCTCAGAACTACTGTTGTGGTTAGCAAGGTAAGCAAAATGCAATATTCCGATCACCATGAATGTTATCTCAAGCAACACAAATGTACGTTATTCACACTCATTAGTAAACCAATAGAGTGGCGAAGTCACGCCCATCTACTTCCGCCCCATGGGACCTTATTTCGGAAAAATAATGTATTGAAGTCAATGGAGAGAGAAAACGTATCTTTCGATCCCGTTTGAATTGTGCCATGAATTACACATATGATGTTTGTCAATCTTAAAAAATCATTTCCATGTCAAAAAAGTCACAGTTTGTCGTAAAACTGTTGAAATATAAGACTATGAAAAATACGCAACTAGAAAGACTACAAATCCCAGAGTAAGTGATGTCACAATTGAGACACTAAGAGATAGCTAAGATCAGCGCCATATAGATAGAATCTATCTATATGGCGCTGGCTAAGATAAGATAACTTTAACAAGATGCCTGTGTGCTTAGTACCAGGTTGTTATCATACCAGCAATGGGTCTTGCTCGTTCTTTCGCTTCCCGTCTGATGAAAGGACCAGAGTGTCTGGATCAAGCTAGCTAGTAGCTAGCACGTTAGTTAGCATTACAGCCTTGTCATTTGTATTAGCCTTAACATGAAGTAACATTAAGTAACCCAAAATGTTAAACAGTAAGAGTCGTAGTCATATTTCGTGAACCCTTTGAAGAGTACTGTCACCGGTGTGATCATTCTATAATACACAATTTAAGCCCGGGGGAGAAATGCTAACGCTAGCGATCTTCTCTACTTCATGCTATCTGCACAAATGGTTGACATTAAACATTAAAACGACCAGGCAGTTCAGAGAGAATCAAAGGAAGGCAGGCAGGCAGCTTTGCATGACATTCTTCAGGACGTGTTTCATTGTGGTGATAGACAGTAGTGACGGCCATCTTGGTGACGTGTGTTGTTGACCAGAGATGTAGTTCATTGAGCCTTTCACACAAACAAATGTGTTACTTCACAGTTTTACGACACATTTTTTTTTTTTTTACTTGCAAAATTATCTTTTAAATTGACAAACATCATATGTGTAATTCGTGGCACAATTCAAACGGGATCGAAAGATAATCTTTCTCTCTCCATTGACTTCAATACATAATTTTTCCGAAATAAGCTCCCATGGAGGTCCACCGGAAGGGGAGGGACTTCGCCACTCTATACTGTTGTGAGGTCACACAGATGCATGACGACGAGACGGATCAAGGGGCAGGAGTAGATGAGGAAGAGGAGGAGAATGACAAATAGGATAAAAAGAACGTCTGGGGTGGGGAATAATATATGTGTACCTTCATCCCATCCACTGGATTATGGATGACGGTTGTCTGAGGTTCCTGGAGGTAGAGGAGGACCATGGAACAAAAGAGAGAAAGCAAAGAAAGGGGCAGAGAGAGGGAGGGAAAGAAAGAGAGAAGATTGACATAAAAGTAAATAGAGATGGGTTAAGTGTAAGTAAAAGACAAGGAGGAAAAAGACAGTGATGTGAATGGTGCATGAAGAGAAAGTGCTTGTTAAGGTTGACAAAGAATAATCCTTCAAAGACATGGAGTGGATGGATGAACTGAATAACTGTAATTTGGAGTGAGAGACGGTATTGAAACCCAGGGTGAAGTCACTGCCATGAGCACTTTACACAATTTTCTCTCACACAAACGGATACTACACAGCCTCCGGAAAGGGACAGTTGCAATCAAGCCACCGAATTTATTTTCATTCAACCTACAAATATGCAAATGTAAGCTGAATCAAGAGAATTGTTCATTCAAATGAAGGTAACGCACACAATTTAAATGAGCTCTGACGTAGATAAACACTATGCTCAACATCTTATTAGACACTGCTAAACCCAGCTCAAAGATTGTAACAGGTCTTTCTGATCATTTCGGCTCCCCTTCTAAAAGATGTTCTGACTGAAATGTATGGGTTTTTATTTTAAATCACAATTTTGTGCACATAATTGGCTCCGTAAATCCTCAAGATTAGCCATATCTCCTTGTTATTTTGCCTTTTCACAATCCCAGTTGATCTTCTTTCACTTAGAGCACATTAGGTTCCTTCTTTCATCTTATATTGCAGATTCTGCAATCTAATGTATCTTCAGCATCTCTGTCACGTTTTTAGCCAGTTGGTGGCTCTTTTCAAACAAAAACATTCCCATCAGTGTTGCCTTTTTGTCCCTTGATGCAGCAGGCCCTGATTGCGGATAATTCATAAAGGGGAGACATTGATTTTTTTCCCTTTTCTGCAGCTCTCAACACTCTGCTAGAAAGTGTCATCTGATGTACGTAAATCAGAACCCCCCGCCGCCACCCCCATCATGTTCTTCACAGGAAGTGACACCTCTGTGATGACCAATCATCAGCTTTCTCCCTTGTGATGATGGCAGTGTTGTCAGGGCAACCGTCACCTAGGGCAACATGCACCGGAGGCAACTTGGGAGATGGTGATGATGATGAGTGAGAACAAAGTACCTTGGGTTTACAGATTAGAATGAGGGGGAAATGGGTAATGGTGTCACAACATCACAGGGGTTGACCGCAACACATCACTGCTGTCTTTACATTAACTCTGCTGCTCTTTCAGGGATGTTCTAGTGGCGCAATTAAGTCAAATTGTGTTATGTATATACAGCCAAGCCGCACATTAAGATTCCCATCACCCCTTATCCGCTCCAAGGTCATCTAATTCTAAGGGTCTCTCTGACCTGGCAGCTCTGCAATAAAGGAGTTAATGTACCAAATGGCTAAACAGTAGCTAGCTCAAGTCCCTAGCAACAGAGTGAAGATCACAGGCGCACTCCCACTCTCTGTTCCCTTCAAAGATCAGAAAAAAAAGCCTCTTCAAATCCATGGTTGTGTTTCTCACTCTGAAGCCTGTCATCTTCCTATCAAGCACTTCTTCTAGTATGTCTGTATTTGTACAGATAGGATGCATGCGCACACAGAAAAACGGACTTCCATCCACAAAAGGACAACTGTTATCTTGCCTTCTCCAATCAAAGTGCTGAAAGCAGATGCCTAGTTTTAAACAGTGTCAAGCTGAGGCCAAGCTAGTGATGCACACCATGGACAGGTAATATCTACCAGGGTCACCGCTCATTGACACCACCAAGAGACCTGCTGACCAATAGACTATAATCTGTGTTTTATTATCACAACGTGCTAAAATGGAGCTTTGCAGTGTATGGCAAATATATTTAGTTTGCAGGAGTTCCAAAGAGCAAACCCAAATTCCTCAACTGTGCTAGATGTGTAAGTTGGTGAAATCCTTTGCGAGGCATCTAGGTCTCTTCATTTGGCATGGCTGATCGACTTGAAGTAACAATTGCATTATAAAATGCAGCTATTATGGTTAAATAAATTGCAGTTGCACACAAAGTAAGAGGCATTTGCAAATGTAGTGCACTCCTGAAACACAATTATTTAATTGCATGAAATCTATCATTACAAATCCTACATTAACCAGGACCAGTAGTTATATACTTTAAAGACGTTCACAGATGTTGTCTATGCAACACAAATTACAATTAATGCTCTCAGAAAGATATCAGAAAACAAAAGAAAACTGACATTAAAGTATTTAGGATACTTTTAGGATTTGATTTATGAGTTATTTTCATTATTGATTATTCTACCAACATCCATTAAAATGTCCAAAAGTATAGGGAAAATCTCAAAAACTACCGCATCTAAATGTTTTTTTATATAAATATGTTTGCATATTTGCTATTTTAGAGTCTGTAAACACAATTTTTCCATGTTCATTGGAAATATTAATCCTGAAGCAGGTCCAAGGTCCACAACTCACCCACGGAAATATGAATATAGCACAAGCTCCATATAGATCAAGAGGAGAAGCACAAATAACTTTGAAATCTCACCCAGACACATGATGCTTAGTAAAATTGGTGCCCACGGTTCTGGAATTTACTTCACGTTGTATATTCTTCCCTTAATAAAAGTCATTTTTGACCATGTGTGTAGCCCAAGAGCAGGAAATAATCTCTGAAATCAGCTGGAGTTTGGCTAGAAGGATAATCTGAAGACCTTTGGACTGTGATGCTCACACGGTGGGGAATCGCTTCTGAACAGAGGCATACATAAGAAGGAGGGGGTCAATGTCACTGACAGTCCCAGCAGGCATTGGCTGTCTGTTCCTTTCTTGGAAAACTCTCACTAACAGAGAATAAAACACGGCAGTATCAACCTGAGTGCAAGTCACATAGCATGCACACCTGCGATGGGGAAATGTTTTCCCAACACCCCATGCTGGTATAAGACCTACTCGACCGCTGTGGCTCTCACAGCCGCTGGGCAAGGATTAAGCACAAATGACTCGACGAACAGAGAGGAAAAACAGACAAAGCTACAGGAGTACGGGAGAGGGAAAATAGGGGTCTTATAGGATATACGGACAAACACACAAAGGTGAGGGCGAAGGGTAAATTAGGGTTAAGGGGGGTGGGCTTAGGAGGTAAATACCAGAGCAGGTGAATGGGTGTTTCCTTTGGGGCTGGTGACTATGCTGTTTTTGGTGCTGTTTGTCTGGGGCTGTGCAGGAAAGGAGAGGAAAGGAAGGAGACACAACAAGATTGAAAACATCAGCAAAAAGGTGGGTTAGGGAGTCCATGCATGTGTTTCTTTGCATGCCCATGTCTTTATGCATTCATATTTCTGTGAAAACGAATTTTAAATGTTTCACCTAGTTGTTAGTGACGTCCTTTTTTCACACATTTTCAATTAAAATGATTTGAGAAGAGGTTAACACGGAGGTTAATGGTGTCCTAAAAAACTGCATAAAAAATAGATGCTCGACATTTAGTAACAGTCCAGGTTAGAGTTTTCCTTATTTTCTACCTTATTGTATAAAATAAATGTAAATCCTATAATGAAATAAAATAAACAATATGGCTAAATAACAAAATAAGTAAGGAGTTAATGATTTGGGTGAACAAAAATATATTTTAGATTTAAGGTCTATGTTTGGTTTTAAGGGATTAAGATTACGCTTTACTTTGAATTACGTCCATAATGGAAACATTTTTTTAAATAAGAGACAGAAAAATAATTAACAATGCGATAACTGTATGTCCCCACAAACATAGTTAGATACAAATATATGGTGAGTGTCTGAGTGTGGAGTCCAGTAGATGGCAGGCAGCAGCAGCAGTGATGATATCTTAAACATTCATTCACAAGACGGATCTGTAATTCTGAGAGGTAACATGAGGGGGCGGGTGACACTTAGTGACATCATGATGTTGTCACGCTGCTTAATATTTCAGATTGCAACCGTGCCATTTGGCCGTAATGAATCACTTTTTTTAAAATTATAAGCCCAGATCAAATTCTCCTTTGAAGGCCACACATCAAAGAGCGACCAGTCCTTTATAGCTTATTTGGACCGTAATGATATTTGCATTAAATTAACATTGAATTATTTGAAAAACAACATTAACTTGAAGTTGTTAAATGGGGCGTGGGTGTGGAAGTGAATCACCAAAGTTACTCATTCTAAGAACTCAGCTACCGTTACATAAATATTAATCATGTAACACTTACATCCAAGCCACCTACCAGTGATAGAGGTCAAGAGAAGTCATGGATTACTTTATGCCGCATTAAGCCTTAGTATGGTGTGAATGTCAAAAGAAAGTGGGAAGAAATCTGCCAAGATGGAAGAAAATTCCACCTAGGTATAATGCTAGTCACGCTAGCAAAAGCCTTTCATTTCACAGGCTGTTCTACAGATAAAAAAAATAAGGCTTTAAGAAAGAAGCACAAGATCATTGATTTTAGGATACAGAATTGGCAACCATTTGAAACATTGATTTACAGAAAGGAAAAAAAAAGTACATGGGTGTATCTATAATATGGATTCTATTCAAGAGAGAAGAGGAGTAGAGTAGAAGACGAAGGCTTATAGATCACCACAAAAAAGTGCAAAAAAGCAACACAATGAATACAGAAATAACAGCCTTGAAAATAAAAGCTGGTGTAAGCTGAGAATAAGGTGATACATAGACAAACACTGAAATCACACACACATACCAGTGAAACCCAGAGTCACACACACATTTATGTCCTCATCAGTCACACCGCTGCCGCTGTGGAGCAACAGGAAATGTATTGCTCATCAAAGTAAATGATTAGCAGATGAGACGTTTTACTCAAAGCTTGTTTGCAGAATCTCGGGGTCTTAGGATTTGGTGAGGAAAAACCCTTTACTTTTCTGAACAACGTGCTGGAGGGGATATAATCAAGCTTGCATATTGGTAGAGATCACAGAGTTTCACAATTGAATGAGGTCAAACAAAGAAGGAGAAAGTGGGTCAAAGTATTCACAGGTGGTTCTCCAGGTAAGCAAGGAAAGCAGTGCAGAGGGAACACACAGGAGGAAGAGGTGTGAGAAGAGAGGATGGGCCTGTAGAAAAACATTTCATCCGTTTTCAGTTTGGTTTGTCAGAAGGGTTATAAAGAAACTTGGTGGAAGGGTGGGCCAAGGAAGAAGCCATCACATTTTGGAGTGCATACAAAACACAGGGTTGATACACAATTCGTTTTCACTTCTGTTAACATGTAAGAAAGTGCAGTGTTTTTTTAAACCAAAAAGTTAGGTATCCAAACACAAGCGCTGCCTCTGTCCTTGAAGTATGCCCTTGACAGATCTGGAGCAGCATCCCTGGAGTAACTCTGATGGAACTAAAACATCCTGTCATGTTGTCTTTTGAATATTGTTAGGGTTAGGCATGATTCAGCACACTTTGCAAGGGTCTATGTGACTTCTGCTTAGCATCTGTGAGACCCGTGATGAATTGGCCACCACTGTCCCACAAATGAATACTCAAGAGGAGTGTAGGATACTTGACTCCACCGATGAAATCGAGTAAAGGGGGGAAGTTGGATAAAAGACATAAAAGATAAAGAGTAGAAGGAGGAGTGACTAGGCAAATGCATAACTAGCATGCTCACCATGTACTGGACAGTAGAGCTGGACTTGCGTTTCTGTCCCCAGGCGATTGATGGATGGATGGAGTTATTGATGGACGGTTGGATAGTAGAAGGGGGGAAAAAGATAAAGTAACCAATGACAATAAAAGTGAATGGGCTAGATCAAAGTACAAGACAGGACTTGCAAGTGTACATCAAAACTTGATTTCCTTTGCTAAGATCAGACTTTTTCAGAAAGAAAAAGAAGAAGATGGAAAAGTTCCCGCTCAAGTTATATTGGGAAAGTAGGGAGACGAAAGCGCAGAAAAAAGGAGCTGGGGTTTAAGATATCTGTAAGATGACAAAAGGGTGGTAAGCAGATCAAGAGTCTGGAAGCGGCCACACTGGCACCCGCTTGTTTTTTGTTGACAGATTAAGAGAAGTTCGGGGCCAGACGGAGGCGTGAAAGGACAGCAAGGAAATGCAAAATGACCACGGCAGGCTCATTACTTGTAGAGTTGTTACATGTAGCATTTATACATCAATAACTGATTAGCACGATTATTCAGGGACATACGTGCAATCACTTTAAATGAACAAGAGCACTGGAAACCTAATATGCCCCCTTGTTGTATTTTACAATCTTCCGAATTAAGGATGTGTTGTTTTGTAACCAGTTTATGTTTTGTAACAATGTATAAGAATGCTACATGTAATATCTTTTAAAAAGAAGAATGAAATGCGGACTGAAGTGGCGTTTATGAGCAGCTGCTGGCAGTTCGTGAGGCTGATGTTGGTGCTTACTTAGTGCCAAAGAGAAACTAAAGGTGTTACAGCTGAAGCAAACGTCAGGTGCCATTACGCATTAATGAACCTGCGGGACGAGGAGGAGGAGAGGCCGAGGAGAGGAGGTCAGATTCGCCAAAAGGACATGTGGAGGGAAGAAACAAGAGAAGAGGGAGGGACGGAGGCAAGCAGGGACGGCAGCAAACGAAGAAGATGTCGTTAGAAAAGGTTTGGGGCGAGTGTGCCTGTTGCTAGGCAATGAGAGGGCTGCAGTGGAAGTGAGTGTCTATTTCTGTCGTCTGAGTTTCCAGGGTCCAGACTGGCAGCTATTCCTGGAACCGGAGTCACATTCCCTGCTGAACCGACTGAGCAGGGCCACACACACACACACACACACACACACACACACACACACACACACACACACACACACACACACACACACACACACACACACACACACACACACACACACACACACACACACACACACACACACACACACACACACACACACACACACACACACACACACACACACACACACACACACACACACACACACACACACACACACACACACACACACACACACACACACACACACACACACACACACACACACACACACACACACACACACACACACACACACACACACACACACACACACACACACACACACACACACTCTTTTCAAACAAATGTGAAACATTCACAAAGTCTCTTCCAAAGTCTCTTCCTAGCATAACGTACAATGCTGAGAAGCAAACACATTCTCTTGCATGTACACCATGTTCCAAGCTTGGTCGCACACTATCATGCATACACGCTGAACACATTCATGGAAGCTCTGTGTGGGATGTGTTACTGCAGTGTGTGTGTGCGAGCGTGGGATGGTGAGAGATCTTTATTAAAAGGATGAACTGGAATACGGGGTTAAAGACCAGATGGGGTGAGCAGGAATAGGAAGCACTGAAAGAGGAGGAAGAGACTCAAATGGCGGGGTGAGAGGAAGTGATGAAAAAAGGAATGGAGATGACAGATGTTACATTTAATAATGGATATGGAGAGAGGGGCATGAGCTGGATCATTTGAAAATGTAAATAAAGTGTGCTCTCTGAAGGAATTGCTACTTGAGGCTTGTGTTATGGCAGACAACACGCAGGCAGGCAAAAGTACACACATATAAAGACACTCGTCTACAGATATGTATCCATAGCAAACAGGTATCCTTTCACACATCACAAATGGTGAATCTGTAAGATCATCTAAACACAAAACCACGATCTCAACGTACATTATGATGGACACAAAATAATGAGAAACAAACGCGTTTAACAACAAAGACAAGAAAGCTATAGGAGAAATTGAGATTAGCCAAATTAGGAAAGAAGCAAATAGTGGAGCAGAAAGAATACATCGGAGAAGAAGAAGAAGAAAAATACATCGGAGAAGAAGAAGAAGAAAAATACATCGGAGAAGAAGAAGAAGAAAAATACATCGGAGAAGAAGAAGAAGGAAAGGTGGGTCGTGGAAAGAGGTTAGAGAAAGTCGGAGGAAGACGTGATGACCTTACCTTGACTTCTACCTTTTTGTTGAGCAAGGTCTTAGCTGCTGCAATGACAAACAGAGGGCAAACAAAACAGTTAGAAGTGGAAAAACAGAGGAGTAAATAATTTCTCATCTGCCACACATTTAACCTACAGTGAAGAGATGACTTTCATTTGACTTTGTGAATCAACTTAATTAAGAATTAACGTTTTTTATTGCAGTAAAAGCCACTGTGACTCAGCTTAAGTAGCCTTAGACTGAAATGACAAGGGGAACTCAGCACCTTGCTAGAAGGTTAGTGTCCTACTAAAGAGATGCGTTCAAGTGAAATAAGGGCTTTCATAGAACTACAAAGGTCCATCTTTTAGGTCCCAAGGTGTTTGATGTCCATAGCTAGTTGTTCAGGTGAAAAAGGAATTATTCCAGTGTTGCCTCTCAACCAAATACATACATCGTATTTATTTTCCCTGTGTGTCTTGAGACTAGCTCCTCAATGTTTCAGGATCAGATCCCAATGCTTTGTCTTTCAATAAAACAGAGACACATTGTCATCAGTGAAACAAAAATGTCCTCCAATTCATTGTTTTACATCAATTCCAGTTGTGAGGAAGCTGGAAGAAAGATGGCTGTCGTGCAGGGCCCAACAATAAACTCTGCCTTTAGGAAATCTGGGGGGGGATTAGTTTATATTCTGCTCTCTAATGAATGGTAATGAGGTAGGGGGTGGGGAAGGGAAGAATGATACTGTAGACATAATACCCATAATCCCTTTTTAACAGTAGAAACTGAAACTGAGCCAGTTTGCCGGGCCTTTACAATGACTTCACTGCTATAGCATAACATCAGATCAATGCATGGTCATCGAGACTTATGCATCAGTTTAGTTTGAAACATTACAGCTTATTTGTATAGCTAGATATTCCCACTGTCTTTATAAAGACTAAAGGATAAGTCTGATTTACACTGAAAACAAATGTTCTGGTTAGTACTGAATGATTATTCTTAAAGGTTATTTAAGGATTTTTACATAAAATACTTACAAAAAAATCTGTATTTTTAGTGGTTGTCAGGAATGCATCGATATACATCAATGGCCAAAGAACAGGTTGTATGTGTATGTTTTTTGAAGACATACCATCTGTTTATGTTTCTACATTATGAATGAGCAAATGTAATCGGTTCTAGTATGGCTTCATTTTGAATATTACACTAGCAACACTTATTGCGGAATTGCTGGTGTCTTTCACCTGCCGTTTCAAGTCCGAGACCCCTCCTCTCTGCCTTACCCGCCTGGATGTAATCCTTGCTGGGACTTTTTAAAAGGGACTGAGTGCAATTTCAAGTCTAATCAAATGCAATCACATCAGCAGCCAGCCACGTTACATAAAACACTATTTATGGCGGTCTGGGTCTTTTCTTTCTCTATATCTCTTTCCTCTCTGAACATTTTGGCATAGTTCCTATCATATACTTTATTTTTTCCAAACATGCACTGCGCCAGTAGCTGAATTCCAGCTATTTCTTAGGAGAGACAGAGGTCCAAGTCCTGGCCTAGCACTTTTAAGTAAAACATCACGTCCTTACAAGTGGACTTCTAAAGCTGTCCCTTGAAAAGCAAGATAGATCAAGAGCAATGAGAGAAGTACAATACATCACTTCCACCTTTTGTCCTAGATTTGTCTCTTTTTTTTCTCAGCTATATAGTATCTCACGTTTGAGGCGAGGTTTGCATATTCAGCACTCTAAGTAAGGAGCAATATGAAGTGATAAAGAATCACAACAGAGTGATGTGAGAGTGGCATGAATGAGCATGGTGTATTGCTGTGCCGTTATTCCTCCTTCCAAAGGCTCCTTGTTACTGAGGAGAAGAAATGGGGTCAGAAGAGTGTCAAGTTCATTCTGGCGTATTCTGTGACGGCTTGGCAGAAGAGAAGAAGACATGAACCGAGAGCTGAGAGGAGAAGACTGCTGTGTTGCTAAAATAGCTGGTGACAAAAGGGGAAATCTCTGTGGAGACCTGAAATATAAAAAGGTAGCTTATTTTGAGCCGAAGGTGGAGAAACATGGGGGCACCCCTTACCTTGCCCCAAATGACACATGAAGCAAGAAGAGAGAGGAGAAAGAGATCAGAAACACAATCACAACTATACATTAAAATCAAGCAAGATGCACAACTGCAGGAGAGAAGCAAGGCTGGGCAAAGATTCACATGAAGGTTCGGGCGGTAATCAAACCAAACGTGACCTCTAATTCGAAAGTTTCTGAGAAGCTTTTTCTACACATCGCATTTTGAAGGCCTGGACATAATTTAAGATACTATCACCCTCGTCCTGAATGAGGAAAGTGTGAGGTCAAGTAGATAGCGATTGTATTTGTGTGTATGAATACGCAAGATAAGAGCGATGCCTCCAGGAAGCCAGTGAGGCAGAGTGAGGCTGATAGGGCGAGGCAGTCCGCTATTCATATTTGATTGGAGCCTAGTGATGGCTCGGGGACACAGAGAGGACTGTGGAGTCCCAGTGGGCCACAGAAACAAGGACACTGCCACAATTTCTGATTCCTTAGCTCAATGCTAGACTGTCATGTGAGGTCTTTTTTTGTTGTTGCTTTAGGCCTGCAATCATTCCTGCAAACCCAGTAAAAACGCATTATGTTGGGACGGGTTCACATATCTAAAATGTCCAAATATTTGTAGTGTTAAAAAATACCTAAATCAAAAAAGTGGATGACAATGTTCTGAAACTTTTCTTTGGTTTTCGAGCGCCCTACAAAATAAAGACTATTTTCCAAAACTGCTAGAGAAGCTACCTGCTAAGGATGACTAAAGATACCATTTTGTCTTGAGAGGTGCCGGACCAAAGAAACAGTAAATAAACATTAGATTTGTCAGGGGTGCAAAAAGAAAAAAGACAAATGTGCAATAGCATCTCAGCGTTTCTGCAAATTTCATTTAAAGTAAAAGAAAAATGGCTTAATGCAGCACTTTATATGCTATCCCAACGGTTCTATAATAGGCGCTCTGTCTGAACATAAGAGAGTTAGGTTATAAGGTACATTTAAAGTTCACAAGATGTTTAAAACGTGAAAAAAAGTGAATACATCTAGTGGGAACATATATGAACAGCTACATGTACAGTATGTGGCCTGGATGAGAGTTCATAGCTCAGTCAGTTGACTACTATGGGTTATATCTCCACTGCAATACATTTAAATAGTAAAACAACAGCTTCAATAGTTGTGGACATCATGAGAGCCAGCCCAGCCTTGCATCTCCCACAGTGTTCACCATGCCCCCCCCCCCCCACTCGCTGGAGTGCATGCACCAGTCCAGTGCCCCATGCAGCATTCACTGACAGCTCGTGGGCAGCTCCATCCTTAAAGTGACATGGGTGAACTTTCCAGTGTCATTGTCAGACAGAGAAAAGAAGAGAGAGGGAAAGAGGAGTGAGGGGGAAGTGCAATATGAAGAATGATGCAAAGTGAGACTGATGCTGGTGGAGTTATAGAAAAGTGACTTGCTAGAAAACTGTTGCCAGAGAGGACAGCTTATAGGAAAAACAATGGGGTAGAAGTGGAGTGTTCATGTGACAGAGGTGAAGTGGGAGGAAGAAGGTTAGCAGAAAAAAAGAGAGACAGGAGAGCAGTTCTGTTAGGTCGAGGCCATGCTCTGTGGCTGCGTTGAAGAAGATGAAGGGATGAATATGGGTGGGTCAGCAAGCCTATCAGATCGCAGACAGGAGGTGACACGTGTGGAAAACGACAGCAGTAGTTGGGCTTCCATACATCAACATCGATTGGACAAATGGAAAGTGAAATATTCACTAAAAATGTTTCAAAGATTAATCACTGATTAGATTTAAGTGGAAGAGCTTTTGCTAAAAATAGCAACCTGGTCACATTTGTTATATTTAGTTTAAAGGAGGTCTGAAATGATGGCTTTATCTATGATTAATTCCTACTGTCACTTTTATTGCATATTTTATAATTAGTTGTCATTGGCCATCAGCCAACAGCTGAACAACACAAATCCTAGTTGACACTTTTCCCCTTCTCTTTATGATATTTTTAACATGTAACAATCCTCAACTTGGCTTAACTAAGCAACTGGAAAAACACTAGTTGAAATGATTTTTTTTATGATTTATCAAAAGGTTGCGTAAAGCCTGCTATAAAGTCAAATGGAACCATAGCTAATGCTGCAGGTGATAAGTAAATGGAAGATGTGGTTAGTGACGTGGTCATGCGCTGAGCCCCCCGTGCTGAGGAAGAAGAGGCAGAAAAGAGGGGAAATGGAAGGACGATAAAGTGTGAACGACAGGAACAGAGAAGGGTTAGAGGCGTGGCATGCCCTGTGTGCTCCACCGTGCTACCTTGTTCCATCAGGCCTGCGGCGGTGCCGGCAGCTGCAGCCACTGCTGCTGCTGCCACGGTGACCGAGGCTGGAGTGGTGGTCTGCCTGCTGCCCACTGTTAAGAGTCCAATAGCCAGTCAGTTGCAGAGCAGGGAGGAAAGGAAGGTGAGAAGGAGTTGGATGAGAAACAGGGGGAAAATGGAAAAATGGTGGAGTGAAATTTAGAAAGAAAGGGAGGGTTTGAGTCAGAGACAAAGCAGGTAGGTGGGCAGGGTGAGGAAAAATGTAAAAAAGGTGAGGCGGAGACAAACATAATTTATGAGTTCATTAGGGGGGTTAATTCGTATACACAAACTAGAGACACAAAATCTATCACTTATGAATCTTCTGCTGATAGAAGGATCACCAGAGAAAAATGTCAAGGAAAAACACAAATCTCAAATTAATTTGAGAACCTTTGACACTTGCATTTTGTCTCAAAGCATCCCTGAAAACAGTGTTATAGTTAGGATGATGACAGTGATGAAGTTGCAGGACTTAGTCAATGTTGGTAAATGTTAGATTTGTAGAGCTTGTTCACCTCTATAACAGTCAGAAATATGTTAAATGCATAACAGGCGGTCGTACTTTGTATTGAAATTAAAACATATTGTAGAAATAATAGTAAACTTTAATTTAAACCATAACCTTATCCTCATACATTTTGAATGCTACAAGATATAAACATGTGAATGGAAATAGAAGCTCTGTGCTGACACAGGGACACTGATACACTGCTCTGTATAATGTATGATTCATGATGAGAGTACAGTAACTTGTTTATGTGCTAATGTAGTGTTATTAAGTTATTTATTCGTCACCTAATGACCTCACACTTCATAAGAGGAAAGAGAGAAAGGAGAACAAATGTGTTGAACTTGACACAGCAGGGCCACACACCTGGGTCAGTGTTTGTGTGTGAGTGAGTGAGTGAGTGAGTGAGTGAGTGAGTGAGTGAGTGAGAGTGTGTGTGTGTGTCCTCAAATTGAGAAAGTGTGATCAATAGAAAACTGTCTCCCCAGATGTAACATCTCCACATCATAAAAGGTTACGTATAAGTAGAAGCTAAGAACGTTAAGCGTGCTCAGTTATTGTAAATAATTAAAGCTTTCTATACTGTGATCTCACTGAACAGGATATGCTCTAAATGAGACCAAAATAAATGTATTTAACAGCTATATTTTTTAATATACCATTTTGAATAAGTTGTACAAGACTATGCTTTGTATTATAACGGTCTAAGTACCTAACCTGGATAAAAGACACCAAAGGGAAACACTGAAGTTGCACTGAGATGAACTTTACATAAATATATTTTTTACGGATCTATTGACCAAGGGAGACAAATCGGTCTGTTACTAAATGTCTAATGTTACCAGTGTTTACGAGGCACATGCCACCATTTGGGCAGACATCAAGGATATTCTTGACATATATATTTTAATATATGCTTATATTCAACAATCTTTCTTAGTACTTAATGTGTATTAACATATTAACATATTTGCATGCAGCAAATACAATCCCAAAATGTTGCATGCGTAAATAACCTTTATATTGATGGATGTTGATATAAAAGGTAGAACAGTTCTACAAGATTGTGTTCAGGCAACACTTACCAGAGAAATTTCGAGAAACCAGCATGGTAGTAAGAATGGCCCCCTGAGAAGAAAACAAAAAAAAGTTCAAATGTAAACACTTTAACTAGTAACATAATAATTTTTGAAAAATGTACAGTATGCGAATAGTTTTTTAAGAATATGCCACATTTTTATATATCTTTCTATTCAAAGAATACTGTATGTTCCTGCATCATGGTCCCTATTTTAAATATCTGACATTCTTTCCCTTTTTCTTGTTTGCTCTGCATGTCCATGTTTTTCTAAAAATGACAAGACACAGACAACTGGTACATGCCAATGGCAGGTTGGTTGCATGTTGGTCACCCATTTGCTGGTATTTGAGCCATGCCAAGACTGGCCAAAAGCAGCATGGTAACAGTGGTCTGCTCCAATGGCTGAGGTGTTGTATTTGCACACACTGTCAGCAATAAATCGGTGAAGAAGGGAAACCAGGAATTGAGGATAAGTCTGGATCTAGACCACCTTTTTTAATAACTTTAAGCATATGCCATCTTCATAAAAAAAAAAAAAAATGTTTTAAACAACAGGCCATGAATTTGTAGATCACCTTTTGGCAGTAACGCTTAAATAATGAAGCAGAAATAAAAGAATAAAGTTGAGGAAATTATCATTTTTATCCTGAGCTTATCAGAGCAGAAGTGGAAGTTGTGGGGGAGAATGAGCATGCAAACAAACCTTGAGTTTCCTCCTGGCGTTGAATTTCTTCAGGCACTCCACGGTCTCCTGTCTGTGCATCATCGACGCCACTGTGGACCGTTGCTGGGAGAAGGAAGAAGAGAAAGAGGAGGAGAGAATGAGGAGGAAACACAGGAGGAAAGTTCATAAAAAGAAGAAAGAAAACGACAAAATGAAATCAGTCACAAGTCTTTTCAATGCGTGCAGTAGATGTGTGAAAAAGAATTGCTGTCTGATTGTCCATCTCCAGCAGGGGACACTTACGCAGACCCACGGGTGCTTCAGGGCCTCCTGAGCAGTGATCCTCTTGGCTGGGTTGATGGTCAGCATCTGGTTGATCAAGTTTTTGGCCTCAGGTGTAACTGTGTCCCACTCCGGGGAAGGGAACTAAAAAGAGAAGCAGAACCACGTCTTCAAATTCAATGTGGAGCTGAAACGATCTGTTGAACAATCCATTCTTTGATTGACAGAATTAATCATTATTTTGATAATTAAATCCTAATTTGTCATCAAAGATGCCAGACATATGCCGGTTCTAAATGTGCATGATTTCTCTGCATAATATCATTTCATATGAAATATCTTTGAGTATTGGACTATTGGTCCGAAAAGAATAGCAATCTGAAGACAAGACTTTGGGCACTGGGAAAATGTATCCAATCAAATCAATAAAGACACTGATGCTGGTTACTACCGTTAATCAGAGAATTTCAATGGTGCTGGAATCCAGCAAAACGACAATTTTTAAATAACTAAACCAAAAGGTTTACATGAAAATGTTTATTATTACTGTAATAATATTGTTATTATCCAGCTGCTTTTGAAATATTCACAATTATGAGACAGCACTTTTAATGTCAATTTTTTAGATGCAAGTTTAAATCTTTGTTTGCCCTCCAAACATTGAAAGAAAATCTATTGAAAATCGAATTAAGACCTTTGGCACTTCTAGATGTTGAAATTCTGTTTGATCTAACAAAGGTAATTGCAGAACCATTCAAGCTTGCATTTAAAAGTCAAGAATGCTCCCCTTGGTTTGCTATTTCTTAGACTTTTTTGTCACCCAAGTCATCAAATCTGAATCAGTTACTGAATGTGCATGTTTTTGTTTTTAAATCATATATTAAACATGCAAATACAAGCGAACCAATCAGAGCAGACTGGTCTCTGGTTTCAGACAGAGGGTGAAAAGTGGTGCTGTAGCAGTATGAGAAAAATAGAGACCTTTTTGAACATTAAAGCGTGTAAACATGTAACAGTAGAGCAGAGTCCTGCATCGGGTCGGGTACCCGCGCATAATCATAACCTCAATCTGCTGCTGAGCGCGCCACATTCAAAATGGCTGAGGTGAAGGCGGAGCCCGGAGAATACAGCATTTTCAACAACACTTCCTCAAGAGCGAAATGTCTGGGAGGCTTTTGGTGTCATCCTAGATGGAGAAAATAACCAACATCCTACGCTTTTTGAGACAAATATGCAACTCCATGTGTTAATAATTGCACGTTTTCACTGCTCATATAGGATATGCGGGTTCGGGTCGGTTTGCGGATCTTGTGCCGACGGGTCGGGTCGGTTTGCGGAACTAATTGGCAATATGTGCGGGTGGCGGGTTCGGTATTGCACGTCGCGGGGCGGGTCTTGAAAATCAGACCCGTGCAGGACTCCGCAGTAGAGGCACAACATACAATTATTAAACCTGAAAATGAGCGCAATAGTGCCCCTATAAAGTCCCTTTTGAGTTTTTTATTTTCTCACGTACTGAACTTATTTATATTGTATGTGAAATGTGAGCAGATTTTATGGATAGTTTTATAGTAAACACATAGAGAGAGGAAGAGCATATCAAACTAACGGGTCACAGGCCAGACATGAACCCAGGACTTTGATAGTCCATGCCTTGAACATGACAGCCACTGTGCCCCCCTGTGTGTGTTTTTCAACAACATCTAAAACCCAGTCCAAGCTCGGCCCCGGACAATTTTTTTAGGAATTCTGATCCCATCCTGTTGTGTTCAGGCACAAATGTCGAGGTCTGTTACCTGAGCCCAGAATCCCTGCCAGAGAATCAGTCCGCCTGTCTCTCTCCATTTGGCATGAACTTAAATATGATCTAAGGTGAGCCTCCCTCTCTTGCAACCCCTGAAATATGAATGAGGCGACTGAGTTATGTAAGCACATCCAAAAACGAACGGGGGCAGTGGGAGGAGAGGGGAGGGTATTACAGCAGGAGGGGAGAAATGGATAGTGGATAGTTATGTAAATTGTAATCCCTGTAATGCTACTGTATGATGTCCTTTTGTTGCTCTGTTATGTTTTTAATGTTTCATGTGGAACCTACTTGAGCAGGTCTCAATGGGATATAACCTGGATAAATAAAGGTTTGAAATGAAATGAAATAAGAGAGCAAGAGAGAAGAGGAGACTCACATCGTAAGCCCCCGCCTTGATCTGCTGGTACAGCTTGTGCTGGTCCTCGTCCCAGAAAGGAGGGTAACCCACCAGCAGGATGTAGAGGATCACCCCTGAGACATGAGCAGAAACACATATGGACACACACACACACACACACACACACACACACACACACACACACACACACACACACACACACACACACACACACACACACACACACACACACACACACACACACACACACACACACACACACACACACACACACACACACACACACACACACACACACACACACACACACACACACACACACACACACACACACACACACACACACACACACACACACACACACACACACACACACACACACACACACACACACACACACACACACACACACACACACACACACACACACACACACACACACACACACACACACACACACACACAGACACAGAGAGAGAGAAAACGTGTTAGAAAATGTGCTTCAATATGTTCTTTTTTGTGTACAATTATCAATGAAATACCATAGTGTATGTAAGTGTGTTTCTCTGTACAACTCACCGCAGGCCCAGATGTCCACAGGTTTGCCATATGCCTCCTTCCTCAAAACCTCAGGGGACAGATACCCCGGTGTGCCAGCAAATCCTGCAGATAACACACACACACACACAAAATGGATTGATTGTGACTCAAGGCACCATATGTGCTATCCTTAGATAAGCTTGTTTAGAAAGCAAGATAGTCTTCCTGTTATCATGACCTATTCATCCTTACAGTGGACTGAGATCTAACAGGAAGATTCAAAGCTCAAAGATCTTCTTGACTTACTGCACCTTGCTTGACCTTTATGATCAGAGTTTGACATCCTTAAAAAAAGGAAAAGTGCACATATCCTTAGGGGAAGTGAACAAAGAGCATTAATGAATGACCATTCTTGGTACCAGATCGAAATGGGTTCACCTCTTATACCAAAGTTCTGATAAAGTGTTTTTTCCGAAGACAAACTGGGCCACTTTCTTGTAAAAAGGACGGAGGTCTGATTTCAGTACAATACAAGCTACTGTAGGGTGGCACCAGCAATGTCAGTTCGAATTTATAAACTAAGCGTACATTTTCTAAGGAATGCATCCTAACATCACAACTTAAAGCATGAATAACAATTTATCATAACTATATAATCTTTTTTTGTAAGTTAAAGGTAGGGTAGGTAAGTTTGAGAAACCGGCTCGAGATACACTTTTTGTTATATTCCATGGGATGCTCTTAACATCCTGATAGCAATGAATATCTTAAGTGCTTTGACAAAAAATCCATAAAAAAAATGTCATCTGTGGAAGCTGTAGTACTGTAAAAAGCACGACCAATCATTTTAGCCGGCCCGGCTAAAATAACTGGATGGCCTACCTGCCTGTCAGCCTTCCATCTGTGCACAAACTTATCTCGTGCCCTCATTGGTCATGTGCGCGTTCGTGTGTGTTGGAGGAGGGGCTCTGTAAGGAAGTGGCAGATTTTTTTCCGGTTGTGTATTTTCAAATTCTAGCGATCTTGAGCCGGTTTCTCCAAAATCACCTACCCCACCTTTAAGACATGCTCTCCTCCAGCTGTACCCTCTATTACTCCATTACCCTTTATTATATGTAGGTCTTTGTTCCTTTACCAAGTATTTAACATAGGGCCATGGTAAGCCTAACCTCTGACAGGAAGTGAACTAATTAACTGAGCTTTAAAAAGTATGCATAAAGTAAATCTGTAAGTAACACCTGTATCTTCTGTACCTACCAAACCAGGCCTGCTGCTCCCCCTGCACCTCAATGGCCAGGCCAAAGTCGGCCAGCTTAACTGCGGCATTCTTACATTTGCTGGCTAGGAGCAGGTTCTCTGGCTAAAGTGGGAAGAAGGAGATAAAGGAGATCACCAAACATTTTAAAAGGAAGGTTGGGGGCAAAACAAATTATCACTGTCCAAATGGGGGAAGATAGCTATTCATGCACAATGTTTGTAATTGGGTTAATTAAGTTCTTATCATCACACACATACAAAACACACATACATAGATGTCACTTCAATTACTTGTTTGAACACATAAAATAAAAGTTAAACCAATGCATTTTTGGCCTAACTTTTAATGTACTGTTTAGCTCACAAAAACCTGCAGTGCTTTCTTGTCCTAGCCTCATGCGGTGTGCTGTGGTCTATAGGCTCCATCTCTATGGCCCAGATAATGCGTTCAGCCTCATTATTCTCTGTCAGAAGAGGGCTCTAATAATGGGCTGCTATTCCCACTGGCCCTGCTCATTTTGTCTCTCGACATCTCTCTCAACTCTCACTTAATCATTGCCTCTGTTACTGCAGCTGGTAATCTCTAATGACAAATAAAGCATTCTGGTGGAAAATATTAACACAAAATAATAAGTGTCATCGAGTTGTGTCGTTGGAAAATGATCAGACTAGATACCAGGGTTGCCTACACATAACAGTCAACTAGGCTAACAAGCACATTTTCAGTCAATAGCCAGTGTGTTAGGCTGGACAATATATGATTTCCCACTCTAACCCATACACTGAATTCTAATCTAACATTACGTTAAAACAAGGAAATGCAGTTCTTTGACTCTGCTCATTACCATACCATTAAGTTCAGCCTGTTTAACAGAAACTCCCAGACATGGTTATCATCTGCAATCCCTGATTGTGTTTTGCGCCCTTTTTAAATGCTACTACCTCTTTTTGGCTAAACCATCAACAGTAACACCTGCATTCATTGCACTTATACTGATGTGCATTTAAATTCATGTCTAATCATTTAAGTCCACAATATGTGTTACTTGTAAGAGGGACACCTTCTGATTTCTTCTGTCCCCTCTTTTCCCTCAGCTAATTTGTAGTGCCAGCCCGTCTTAGTCAATTACTTAGTAGGTTTGCTAAGACATTCTTAGTTGACGAACACTGATATGTTGATTTAAACAAACTCAAAATATTCTTGGAAATAATTAATTCTGCATTAGAAATGATTAGAATGACTAATAGACTAAAGAAATCTTGGTCGAGGATAGCATCGCCGATTTGCAAGAATATATTGCATGCGCTTATAGCATTTGAGCCCATGTATAAAAGAAAGGGAAATAAGTGATAGAGACTTAAGTTAGCAAACCGGTAATCCTGAGGTTCTGCAACCTTGCGTCATAATGTTCTCTGAGCTCCACCATTTGGCTAGGCTTTACCCCTTTATAAACGAGGGAGGTAGAACTTGCCAACACTGCAGCCGTAAGATAATCAGCGGAAACTAATGTGGGTGGAAATTCTGATGAAGCATGCACTTCCATCGTAAAGGTGCATAAACGCAACCCAATACATGCACATCACCATGACTTTTTGATACAAGCGCTCCATCTCCTTAGCACACACATACACTCAGACATGCCCACACAGAGAAGCTGATGACGAGGTTTGGGTGAAAGGCAGAAAGATGGAAGGTTAGAGGAAAGAGAGAGCTGTTTTCGAGAGCAGTTCATACGTGGGTGTTTTATTATGAAATGATTCTCCTCTTTCTTTCATTCCTTTTATTTATATGTCGGTAGAGGATTTGGCGCTGCTGTGGTTTTCCTACTAAATCCTTTAAATAAGTGGAAGAGATGTGTGTGTGTGTCTAGATTAAAGACAGGGATATATTTTTCTTTTACAATGTTTACACACTATTGCAAACCAGATACCTTTAAGAAATGCCTAAAAAACGCTCTTTTGGAGTTTCTCTATAACATTGTTGCTTAACACTAGTAGCACGAGATGTTGGAAACCTTATGATTCAAATCCCAGCTCTAACTTAATTATTGTGTCTATTAATGGAACTTTCATTACATCCATTACTTGTGTAGACTCAAAATAATGACAGTGCCTTTTTGTTCCTGAGAAATACTATTTGCTGTACTTTCTAAACATTGTAGAGCTTGCACACATGTATTTGCTGTGTGTTATCTTATTTATCATAACGCAATTTCTAATTCAAGGGATCTTGTCACCCAGGCTGTCCTCAGTCATCACACTGTGACCTATTGCATGAAATGCTCTCCGACGCTTGGGTGTGAAACCAGATAGGCGTGTCGGCTAAAAAAAGAATTGGCCACAACAGTTCTGATAAACACAACACGGCTTTGCTGGAATGCTTGGACTGACATTTGCATAAAGGAGGTCTACTCAACAAAGGGCATCATGCAAAACCAGATGTGAAATACAAGCATGCACATACACTGCAACACAACCAAATACGAGACATGGCGGCGAGAGGACTGGAGAAAGGTTGTTTTGTATCCGTTTGGAAACAGATTCACACATAGTTCACTATATTTGAGGAGCTGCTTTGTTATTGGGAAATGTTTCCACAACGAAAAGCAATAAGCCACATTTAAAACACTAACAGACTTAAGGAAAACAATCTTTTGGTTTCTAGTGAATAAACAGTCAACACAAATAAATACAACTATGAAGCAATCCTAACTTGTTACCAGTTCAAAATGTTTTCCAACCCTATAAAGAGTGCTTTATGTCTAATATAAGTCACCACATGGCAGATTACAGAAAATGAGCTGTCCCATTTGAAACACTGACAGTCCAATCAAAACCCCAGAGGGTGTGTAATGTTCAATATGTAACACAATTCTTTGACAGAAAGTAAATTGACCAGAGGTTAGATTAAGTATCCTCCCTAGTCATCTTGGATTGATCAATCAACAAAAGAAATGGGCCGGCTATGCAATGACAAGAACCTTTTCTAGAAAGGGAACAGAGCAGCTGCATTGGTCAGTTAGTATAAACAAGATTGCATGCCTGAAATCTCCTCAGACTGGGGTGGAAGTGGTGTTCACACAACAGATAGAGAAGGTGACTGCACAGACTGGAGGCTGGGTATGGCCGGGCAGAGCCAGAGAAAAGGTCACCGGTAGTATTTGACAGTCTCATGTTGATCGCCACAAAGCTGTAGGGACCATGAGTGGGGAGAGCAGCTTAGGCCCGACTCTAAATGGCTTTCTTACCGCCCAACCAACTATTGTGTATGCCTACATTGTATTATATAAGGTTACAAAAGGAGACATTGTATTTCGGAATTCAGTGGGAATTAGATGATTCATCCCTCTCGATGTCCTGAAGCTTTGTAAGTGACACTATGTCCACAAACATTACAGGCATTCACATGTATTTTTTTTTTTAAACTTACACAGACTACACAAAAAACACACCAACAACACCAACCCCCCCCCCCCCCCCTCATTACAAATATTAAAGCACACTCCCAAGGGACAGCAGGATGACCCCCATCACTCACCTTCAGGTCCCGGTGCACCACGCCCATTTGATGGCAGTGAAGCACTGCCTCCAAGATCTGCTGGATGCAATGACTGCATGCAAACACCAAGGGGGGCGCATGTTAGTCTGAGCAGCGCTACAATCCCGTGCACAGGCCAAGGGTGGGGGGGGGGTTATGATGGAGGAGTGGGTAAGGGGTACAACAGGATTTGAAAGGGCTCTTATGTTGCCAGCTGTGACACTCTCAGATTTGATTAGCTACAGCCAAACCACAGCTAAGCACACACCCAGGACTACACAAGGTAATCAGGGTTCAATAGCTTCTAAAAAGTGACATACAACAACTGTGGCCCAAATATAAGGCTTACTTTAAAGTACATTTTATGTATCACCAATTTATGATGTGAATCCAATATAAAGCTTAAAAAGATGGGCCGTTATCTTGTTTGAGCTACTGTGTTTAGCATGGAGCCTATAGTGCAGCAGATGTCATTAATGACTTTGACTTTTTGGGGGGTTCGCTGTAGACCTGGGTTTGACTTGGTTGGCCTGGAAGTGCATAGCTGTGTGTGAATTGCAACAGGACGTTCCTTTGAGTCAATCTATTCTGCAACTAACCAATGGTTTTGCACTATTATTTCAATTAATACTAGTTGAACATTACATTTGTATGTGTTTTTTTTTTTAATATGTTTTTAGTTATTGTGCTTTTTATCATGTTTTTAATTATTGTTTTATTATTGTACTCCCATTGTGTTATTTAATATGTATTGCCAGTACAGCACTTTGGTCAACTGAAGGTTGTTTTAAATGTGCTATATAAATAAATAAAGATTGAGATTGAGATTATTTGTCTTTTATACTCTATTCTTCGGGGATATCCAGGGACACACTCATCTCTGACAGATATTTCACTGGATTCTAGATGCCCCACCTCCCTGCATGTTGTAGTCTGCAGGCATTATGTGATGACAGAGGGTGTGAGAAGGTGGGAAGGAGTGAGTCATTGTGCAATTAATAACATTTAAAAGATGTGTCTGGGATGAATGCCATGTCCACTGGCCTCTGCTGACAAGAGCTGTCATTCTGATGTCAGCTACCGGACACTAAAAATCAAAAGTAAAAAACTAAGAGTGATGCGGAGTAATGACGGAGTCTTTGCAGATATTTGAGCGGGAAACAACAGCACCTGTGTGGCGTTGTGTGTGGACAGAAGCTTGAGTGTTTCCTGTGCACTGACAAAGTTCAGAGTGAGGGTTGTGTTTCACAGTTTTGTATTTCCAAATATGAGTGCAGCTTAAGAGAAGCTTATGGATGATAGAAAGAAATACGCTCTCTTGATCTTTCCACCTACACTTTTAGAAATTATGTGTAATGCCTATTTTCTGCAATAGTGTGGAAAATGAAGGATATCTTTAGAGGTAGAATTAGATGAGCCTTGTGGGGGAGGAGGTTATTACCAAGTCATTTCTCAATTACTTTCACAACTTAAACGTAAAATACAATATTGAGTTTTTACTCACTTCACGGATGATTCATGCAATGAAGACGTGCCATAGTTAATACTTATACATACTTATTACTTTGATTACTGCTTTGAAAATGATGCGCAGTAATTGATTAGCACCTTATCACAAAAATACGCTTGCTGTTTGGCAGGCATCGCCTGCGTGTGACTGACAGGCCATTACTATAATCTCCAGATGAGAGAAACAGCAGCTATCGACCCCTGTGTATGGTTTGAAAATGTATTGATTAATAAAAGAAGGATAATAAAATCCAAGCTTTATTTCGCCATTGTGGTTCTTGAAGTTTGGATTATTTACGTTGTCTTTTTGATTTCCTCTGCATCCAATATAAAGCCCCTTCCATTCTGGCATCTGGACTAACAGCTATCTAAGGTTATCTCACAATCTAACCATAAAACGTGAAATAACAAGTAAACTAGCTGCCTAACAATTAACTTGAGCAGTCTCAAAGGCTGACTTACAGTAATCGTTTTCAATTAAGGAAGAGTCTAGTCTGCTAGATTTTATAACATAAGAGAAAGCAAAGAACATGGGGAGAAATAGAGAGAAAGGAGAGCAAGAGAGAGAGAGAAAGGAGAGCAAGAGGGAGAGCGAGAGCAAGAGGGAGAGCGAGAGCAAGAGGGAGAGCGAGAGCAAGAGAAGGGAGAGCGAGAGCAAGAGAAAGGAGAGCGAGAGCGAGAGCGAGAGCGAGAGCGAGAGCGAGAGAGAGAGAGAGAGAGAGAAATGTAGACTGGCATGGCTGTAAAGTTCAGGGCTATAAATTAGAATCCTGTGTCTTGTTTCTAAAGGTCTCCCAATGAATAAATACTCTGCAGGTCATGTCTACAGTGTGTGTGTGTGTGTGTGTGTGTGTGTGTGTGTGTGTGTGTGTGTGTGTATTTGTCAAGTTGCATGTGTGGGGCTAATGGGACTTCCATCTATGAAATGTGAGTGTGTGTTCTCTTGCACCCTCACTCACACATGTGCCTGTGTGTAGGTATGCATGCAGATCAGTGTGTGTGTGTGTCCATCCTTCCCCCACTTTGTCAGCTGTTGAGCTCTGTAACCAGCAGGGTGAAAATCCTGTGTGTGTGTATGTGTGTGTGTGTGTGTGTGTGTGTGTGTGTGTGTGTGTGTGTGTGTGTGTGTGTGTGTGTGTTGGAAGGAGTTGGCCATGCCGCAATCAATATTTAAAAGATACATTCTGTTGTATTCCTGTTCACTCTATATAAAAAGTATGCAATCTGCTATAAAAAGTGTTTGTTTATGTTTCAGTTGTTGCAGGTTAGCCTACTTTACCGTATTCTTCAAAGAGAAACAGAATAATAAGGTCACAGATCACAGCCACTATGGGACTTCTGATAAAGTTTTTAACATTGATGTTCTTGAAAAACTTGACAGATGACAAAAAAAATGCACCTATCATATTTCTTGAATTGTACATTTTTAGCAACTCATAGCTGTATTATAGTTCTTAAAGTCTGTTTGTCTGAGGTTGTTCTATACGTGCGGAATTATTAGCAGCACACACGTGAAATGCTTTCGTGACAAATCGTGAAATGACCTGATGTAGCGGTTGCAGATTTTGTGTGAGTACTAGTTATCTCTCGTATAATACGTATATAAATACCTGCCAACTAAAAGTAAAGAATTACATAAATGCTGCAGAGATCATTTAAACGTTGGTTTTATTATATTCTGTAGTCGCTGATCATCTCATAGCAAGCAGAACATAGCTTTTACTTATGCTTTCTTTCGAGAGTCAGTGTGACAATACACTACATTATATTTAATAAAATCAGACGTCAAAATGTGTCCAAACTGCTACTGTAATTCTGTCTAAAGAATGGAGAAAAGTTAAAATCCTAGAAATCTATTCTTAGATTTAATTCAAGGCCAAAGATAAAAGCTTAACAATACATCAAAAAACACCTCTGGAGATGCTTATAAGATAATATTCCATAAAAAGATTTGTTTTATAAGTAGCGCACTTTGTTTGTCTTCTCAAAAACAGCTCTATAAAGATGCTGTTGATGTTAATATTAGAGTGTATTGAAAATAGAGAGATCAATATAATACATGAATAACTCAGAGCAAGAGAGTAGGCAGGAGAACAACAAAATCAATAAAGACAACAATAAACATAACTGTGGCTTCTTTTAACTAGCCTGGTGGGAGACATTGATGGTGGTAAGGGCATGTGTTAACACTGGATATGTATTACACCTGGGGGGGAGTGTGTGTGTGTGTGTGTGTGTGTGTGTGTGTGTGTGTGTGTGTGTGTGTGTGTGTGTGTGTGTGTGTGTGTGTGTGTGTGTGTGTGTACAAGGCTCAGTGCAACAGGAGTTTTTTATAATGTAGTGAAAATGATGGGTGGGAGGGCATATGGAGCAGGGAGGACGGGTGGATCAGGCCAGGATCCTTCAATTAAAAAATAACATATCATACAATAAAACAGCAAAAAAGGAAACACAAGAGCATAACAAGAGACAAGTCGGACAGGCGGACATTAGACACGACACGAACAAACGAGACGGAGGAGGGAGGGGAGGAAGTAATTAAGGAGGAAAGGAAGGACAGGGACGGAGGAGGGAAAGAAGTCGGGATGCAAATGCTCCTCTACATATACTAACCTTCAGGTCCCTGTGCACTATGTCATGTTGGTGAATGTGATGGACACTGTCTAGAATCTGATGGATACAGTGACTGTGAAGACAAAACAGAGGGGAGGAGGGGCGGTGGGGGTGGAGGGGGGGATGAAGGTGGAGAAATAGGATGCCAGGTGAACAGAGTGACGGCCAATGCAAGGTGAATGAGACAAAGATAAAGAACAGAAGTTGGCGGGTTGGATTAGTGGAGAAGGGACATTTGTCAGAATAAATGAGAAGGAGAAGAAGAGGGAGGACGATTGATGCAGATAGAGATGTTGGAAGGGAGGGGGGTATATGCGGGTGGAGGAGACAAAAACATTTGGTTTTGCTTTTTAGACATGATGAGAAACAAGAGCAGCCACAGCAGAAACATCTGCCAGACAAAAATCACACCGACACTGACAAAGGAGAGGAGAGGAGTAAGAGGAGAGGACAACAACCAAAAGAAAAAAGGTGAGAGGGAAGATAGGATGCGTTTGAAGAGCAGAGAGAGATCATCATTTATGAAATAAATAGAACGCGTATAGGATGACACTGAATCATAATCGACTAGTGGGCTGATGCCAGGCTATTTTTCCATCACTGAAAGGAAAACACATCACCCTGTAGCGAGAGATACATGTACCTCTATTGTGAGTGTGTGAACATTTAAATGTAAGTGTAGGCTTGGTGCAATGAGAGATTGTAATGTTCACAATATGTGACTAATAGCAGGCGCAAAGAGACGGGCAGCCTGCAGGATCCACGCCCACACAGTGTCTAGTTAGTGGGTGGACTGAGAGAGAGAATGAGAGGTATACTGTGTATGTGCATGCTTGCTCAGTACACAAATGTAGAGGAAAATATGAAATGTAAACCAAAGGTATATGCGAATGATAGGCCTTAAACCTGTGAGGAAGCTTTGACTGTATTATTTTGTATCTTAAACCCTAATCTTTATATAAAGTCCCTATGGAGGGAACTTTGAGCTTTTAGCCCTTACAGGCCATTTACATGCACAGAAACCTATATAACACACACGATGCTAGCTTATATTTTTAGGACCTACAACTTCATACTGCAGTCCAAACGAAGACGAAAGGAAAGTAAGAAACCTTTAAAGTGGGAGCTCAATGCTCAGAAGTAAAGGAAGCAACTGTGAACAAACACATTCACGTAACTGACCAGATGGTTCACTGAAAGCATCGTTTGGCTCAACAGACTATAGTAAAGCTTCAGTAAATACATTTTGACCCGCTTGACATGCAGGCCCTTTGCCCTTCATTACAGTGCCAGACGATTTCAATGGAAAGGTGGATCCTTTTACATTTTTCACAAGATGTATTGTTTATTAATAAATAAACAATACAATAAAAACACAATAGGTAATGTACAACCACTTCCTTATTCATCGTTCAGGTTTTCAACAAGAGCCAAAGAGCAGATGTCATACATATATATGACAGATGCAGTAATTTGTTATCGTTAATGTATTAATGTTTCAAAAAAGATGATGCTATGACTAAGTGGGATAAGAGCTTAACATCCACATACTTGGAGACACTTTTCTGCATCATTTATTCACTGTGACATGCCCTTGCATGCACTGACACATGGCTTGACCTGACAGTGACCCATTGTGTTTGGCATTCAAAAGTAGAAGAGCATCTCCACCCACTTTATCTGCTTGTGTGTGTGCCTTCAATATCCCACTGTCCAAAAAGATGATGTCATTCCAAAGGACTCTTGGTCTGTTTATGAACTCTTTGTAGGTCAGAGGGGAACAGTGACTCGACAGAGACATCAAATACAGAGCCAGTCTACCTTCAGGCCACTTCCACTCCCTGTATAAGTATCCTTTAAATTGTAAAATACTCACTTTAATGAAATAAATCATGTCCAAGCTTGTGTTTCATAAAAAAAAAAATCGCAATGCCGATCGAGCAAGGTAGAGAGGTTTTCAGTGAAAATATGATAGGAGGAAAATGTAAGTATATACAGACAACAAGAACATCTTTTAAAATACTCCCATTGAAACAAAAGATCCATGGCAGCATCTAGTGTAACTAACTTTATGTTTTAGTCTGTCTGTTCCCTAGAGAGGGAAAAGTCCTTGATTCAGCTGCAGGTGTAATTCCGTTCTACTCAAAATGGCCCCCATCCAATCAAACACTTCTGAGGAGAAACTCTGACAGGGGGCAACAAGGTGTGATGCTGCACAGTTTCGGGCTGTGTGTGTGACACTAATTACTGCAGCTAATTAAAGTCCCAGTTCTTGCTCGTTTCCAAGGGAGTGAGGTAGGGAGATGGGGGAAGGATTGGCCTGGATGACTGACATGCATTGTGTGTGTGTGTGTGTGTGTGTGTGTGTGTGTGTGTGTGTGTGTGTGTGTGTGTGTGTGTGTGTGTGTGTGTGTGTGTGTGTGTGTGTGTGTGTGTGTGTGTGTGTGTGTGTGTGTGTGTGTGTGTGTGTGTGTGTGTGTGTGTGTGTGTGTGTGTGTGTGTGTGTGTGTGTGTGTGTGTGTGTGTGCAGAATGAAAACAGCAAGGGTTATAGTGTGGCTGAGAATGATAGCGATCACTATGGGGTTTAGATGAGTTATTAGTGCTGTAGCATGCCGTACGGTAGGTACATGGCAGCTTACACACACTCACATACATGTACAGAGACAAATACTAAAACTCTGCTCTCCAAATTAAAATCACAATGTGGCTACAAAAAATTGAAACATGAAATAAAACCCATGAATACACCATCAAGCATGTCTGAAACCAAAGGCATCAGAGGCTTTTGGCATCAGGATAAAAGACACTTTTTCTGCAAGCTGTTCAGGACTACGAAATACTCAGTTTGGAAATAAAAAACTACCCTCCAAAATCCCTAATAATCAGCTAATGGAAATCCTTTAACTTAAAAGGTGACGTCAACAATTATGGAGACAGATTGTTGATTATTAAACTCAATACCCAAACAAATACCCCACATCAAACTCCAACTGTCTTTCTTTTTATAACGCCATGACCCTTGCCTTGTGTGGCTGGGTGTTTGTTTCTTGGCGATTATATCATTCTATATTGCTGATTTGATGGTGTGCCCCGGATAACACGCTGAATTAAGGGAAAGCTTGCCACTCTCAGAATAAAAAATGATGTCATTGAACATTTTAGCTACAAAGGGATAGCTTCTGAAGAGGCAATGTGCCTCTGAATAGGACAGAGAGGTACAGAAAAAGATAGATACTATTAATCAAAACGTTTGCATTCGATTTACAGCTGACAAAAGAAGAGCACGAGCGGTACCTCTAATCTGTATAATAGTAATAATATAACAAACAAGACTACGAAACCACTGTTGTGCAATAACACTTATGTGTAATTTGATAAATAATCTACTTCGAATGTAGCTTGTACAGTTGAATAAATGATCCTTTTATTTTAATGTTATATTTGTTCTAATAGTGTTTTATTTGTATTTGTTTGTCTCTATCTTAACTTTTGCTGTAACAATGTACATTTCCCCTCTGTGGGACTAATAAAGGTATTCTGATTGTATTTAATGGAACAGAATAATTAGACAAATGTAGTTTTGGACTAAACTGTGCTCCAAAGCTCAAATGTACAACCCTGGCTTGGGATCACTTTTTACCCAAGAATATAAAAGTCTGGACAAAACCAGAAAATAATCATATTCAAATGCTGATATGTAAGGCTTCACTCAAAGCCTTTTAGACATTTTAAATACAAACTGGTTAAAAAGGCCAGTTATAGACACCACTTTGCTTAAATTACCCAAGTTCCCTCATTGTGAAGTTAAAAGTCAAACTGCTTTGGATTAGAGACAAGAGTTAAAGACCATTTACTGTGCCGTCGCCCTCAGCACTACCAGACTATTCAGTGTCTTTTTTATGCTGCTGAATGGACTCACACCCACACCACCACTGTCAAGTATCTCTCTCACTCTTCTCTCAGTCTATTGTCTGTACACCCACCCCCTCACACTACTCGATTTCCTCTTCCGCCATTGGTTGAAGTGAACTGTGTGTGTCGATAAGACCAAAGTGGTGGGAGTGATGTTAGAAGCATGTGTGGTGGTGGAGGGTGAAAGAGAAAGGAAAGAAAAGAGCTGAACATTAAGAAAAGAGAAAGAGATGTTGAAACTGTCCACAGTCATAGAGTACAGTAGGGTTTTAGAGTTTTCTGTCAAATGCTCCAATAACTTTTTTTCTTGATAGATACATATTTGGGATAAAGAGTTTGAAAGCAGCATTTTGAAACCTTGTTCAAATCAGAACCCTACTTAATTTTAGCAGAGTGATTCTTGCTGGAGCACATTTTACAAAAATATAAACTCATGAATATTCTCACTACAAGATGTAAGGAAATACTGAAAGTTGTGATGCACTTTGAAATGGAACGAGGCACTGACTCACAGATTCTTAACTTCCATTCAATGGCAATTATTTTGAAATTTGGCCGAAATCTACATTGACCGCACCTGGATGATTTTTCGTTGATTTATAGAAAAGGCAAATTGGTCAAACTTTGGATTGGGCATTAGGGTCGCTGCTGTGTCGATGTGAGAGTACTTTGGCATTGACATAAAGAAAAAAGCTAAGGACAGAAAGAATAGTGAAAAGAGGAGAAGGAGAAACGAGAGGTAAAGTGGAAAGGAAAAAGGGCGCAGAAAGGCAACAGAAGCAAAAGATGAAATAAGAGAGGCCAAGAGGGAAAACAAAAGGAATAAAACAAGAAAACACATTCAGAGTAGGGATGTGCGGAGCAGGAAACGGGAGAACAAGTAAAAAGGAAAGCGAGAAGAAGAATAGCGAAGAGTACAGAAAGAGTAAAGCAGTCAGAAAAGAAAAGGAGAAATAAGTCAACATTGAAAAAAAAAAAAAGACAAGAAGACAACAGAGAACATTGGAGGTCAAGGAAAACACACACACAAACACACAAGGCCGTAATCCTACCTGGCGTCAGCCTCGCTGTAATACTCTCTGGCTACGATGTCCTCAAACAGTTCACCTCCGGTCACCCTGCACACACACACACACACACACACACACACACACACACACACACACACACACACACACACACACACACACACACACACACACCCACACACACACACACACACACACACACACACACACACACACACACACACACACACACACCACACACACACACACACACACACACACACACACACACACACACCCACACACACACACACACACACACACACACACACACACACCACACACACCACACACACACACCACACACACACACACACACACACACACACACACACACACACACACACACACACACACACACACATTAATAATAGGATGCTTTGATTGTTAGGAGGAGGGGGGGTATTAAAACTATTAAGCATGATTCTTGCAGCACCCCCCTTCCCCAATCCTCCCCCTTATCACACTGTTACCATGGAAACTAGAGGATATGCCAAGAGATGGATGTGGAGGGCGTGGGTGGTGGTGGTGGGGGGGGAGATATGCAACAGAGAGAGACTTATGTAATTGTGCTTTGAGGCAAAGGTGGGGAATCAGGGTGGAGGTGGAAGGAGGAAAGGGGGCAGAAGATGAGCAAGCTGAGAGGAGAGGATAACAAAAAGTAAAGAGGAAAGGAAAAGAGAGGAGATGAGAGAGGCTTACAAGTCAAACAGGAGGTAGTGGAAGCCCTCCTCTGATATACTGTCATGAAGACGAACTGTAGGAGGAATACAAAACGATTGACAGATTAATGTGTGTATTCATCTTTTAATTGTGTGAGTACAGTTTGAACCCTGTATACTTTATTTAGTTTTAATTGCCCCTGGCTTTGCTTGTTTACTTGAAGGTAAACGGTAATATATGGGTTTAATTAGATGTTTGTGGGAACAGGTGCAAAAAAAGAAAGACACGTCCTCACCAATGTTGGAGTGTTTCAACAGGCGACAAATCCGAGCTTCTCTTTCCAACTTTTGGTGATCTAAAGGGACACAGAGACAAAAAGACAGAGAAAGGGAAATCATTAGGATTCAATCTTAAATGTGACTGGGGAAAACATCATTTGTTTTTCCAGTCATTGTGGCAGACAACATGGGACAATGATGGAAAATGCAAAAATGTCTAAACACTGGCATATGCATATCAAAGATGGATTCAAGAAATCCTCTGTTGTGACACACATATTGAACTACTGCATGTATACAATCAAATAAAAGTAAGACAGTCATTAAATCCATTTATTGAAATTGAGAAACCCTGAATTTGTTTGCACGTAACTGTCTTATCTAGGTTACTGGAGTGTGAAACCATGCGAGATTGCATATCCCGCATGTGCGTAGGTACATGTGCGTTGTTGTGAAAGAAAAATATTGGATCCACTTATACAACAAATCTTCACAGCACTGCTAGAGGTTACATTCATAGAAAACCCAGGAGGTGGACAAACATTTTTTTGCAAGACAAATTTAAATTGATACTTTTCACTTTTTAAACTATTTTAAACACACTGTACCATGCTAAAAAGATGTTCCCGGTGACCTACAGTACATACTGTAAAATTCCTTCTAAAAAATACAAATAAGCAAATAAGTTAACGTTCCAACATTATTATTTTATTATTGTTAAGTCAGATGTCTCATATGAAAATGATGCATGTGTTTAGATCATAGCCAGCCATGATTTTAGCCCACACACACGCACGGGCTTTGACCCCCCGTACTTGCTGACATGCAGATCAGAGATCAGTAACATAGAAATAAATACATGTTCATCCCGACTCATCTACAAGTTGCATGGGCTTAAAAACAGACACATGTACACATACACGTACCGTACATGCATGCACACAAATAAACTAGCAACACACAAGCGCACATGTTCACGCTGGCATTGAGCAGTGACAGTGAAGTGTAAGCCCAGTGATTACAGTCACAAAAGAAGAGAGGAGCGAGGCGGAGAAAGGAGTGGAGGAGTGTAAAATGGGGACAGAGGAGGAGGGAGGAAAGAAAAGGGGCGATTAATATGCATAAAGCTTGGTTACTCCATTTCTGTTTAAAGAATAAGAGATTGCAGATTGCTGCTGTTTTTTCACCGACCACCATCAGCTACTGTTACTTGATTTATTTTCTCTTACGTTATTGATTTGTTCTTACATTTTTAATCTTGTTATGGGAGGAGGCTATGGAGAGGCTTTTTTATTGGTTTGTTACAAACTGCATTTCAGACACCTTTAATGGGATGGCAGCAGTTTAATCTAAATACATGATGGAATAAGATGTTTAAATGATGGCCCCAAATAGAGCTTTTGTCCAAAAAAGGACCACATCTTTACAATTGAATCACTAAGCACCAAGCACATGCTTTCCCAGACGGTTTTATCTCCACGATTTATAAATGTCAGCTGGTGCTGAACACCGATATGTTATCCATCATACTACTATGTCAAATGGTGAAAACATGTCACAAGTGGAAGCATCGCATTTCATTCTGTCACTGGCATCTGCTGACATTACTTTGCAAGTACAGAATTGGCTCAGAGTAAGCGCAATGGTTCATCTTAGCTTAGTCTACCAGATGGCCAGACTGGGCCTTTGTTACCTACAGGTCTGCGTAGGACTGCATGACTGCGGAGGAGTAGAGCTAAATATTGATTTAAGGGCGACAACGTGCCTCATGCATCAAAATGATATTGAATGTTTCTGATATTATTTTGGGATTTTCGGTTTAGAGAAAATATAAGAGAGCAGAAAGCGAGTGTTTGCAACTAGTGTTGTATGTTCTGACTAATAGCCAACCCTCGTTAACGGATAATTCACTGTTAACCGTCAAGATAAATGTCTTGTATGCTGGGGGGCTGTGATCAAAGTGCTGAACAAGCCGCAGCTGCACCTATAAACCAATGCACAAACAGTTTCAAACCATTATGAAATCCAGCTGTAGTAAAGGCAAGACAAAAGGCAACAAGGTCCCCAATTCACCTGCCCGGGAGATGTATTTTGAGTGGATCGACGTGACAACATGCAGCTACTTTCCTAGTCAAATGTAGTTTAGCTGCCAAGTTGTCAGCTGCATGTCTGTCTTGCATATTGTTACTCTGTTAGCGTATTGTAAACCCCGCAACCCGCGTTAAGGTAACACCGTAGAGTACGAGGTCAGTAGTAACGTTATAGCCGTGAAGGTAGCAGTGAAGCGTCGTTACAGTATGTTTGTCGTATCAAGTCCCTGTTTCTTGCTTGTCCTTTCTGATTAAAGTGAAGGATAACCACCAAAGTAAGCAACAACTGGGGCAAGGATTTCTTAAGATGGGTTGGAAGAAGCTGCTCTAACAAGTTTTTGTTTTATCGTGTTACTAAACCAGCAGTAGTGATGGGACCAATTAAGGTTTCTACTCTGAAACGCTTTAAAAGTCGTAAAATGTGTCTGGGGGTTATCATTATTGTAAATGATTACGCTGCTTAGTTGAATACTTGAATCTGATAGGTCAAGTCGGACATTTCAGAGGTTGTTTATACTCTATAACAAAACGCTAAGCAAAATAATGTCCGTTGCTAAGGAGGATCAAGGGAGGGAAGAAAAGAGGTTAAAGGACAGAGCGGCATGTTTAAGGACTTGTTAGTGGAAAAGAAACTGAACAGACTTGGACAGTTACAGTAAACATCGATCAGTGCTGCTGTTCATTTTAAGTTATGTTGTTGTTGCCGCAGTTAGTAGTATTATATCTATCATTTTCAAAACAATAAAATCATTTTCGATTAATATGCGAGTCAAGTTGTTGGTTTAGGCAAGATAATGTGCAACGATTATTATTATTGAAAAAAGAACACCCTGGTCGCTGCATATTATCCCTTACAGTACATATAGCATAGACATGTATAAATCGCTTTTCTATAAATCACATCTTGAAAAAGTGAAAATTAAAAGCCAGATACTGATCCTATACTTGTGATGGAGCAGGCTAAATAACAAATGCCAAAAGGGGAGAGGGGAGAAACAGGAGGGATAATGAGGACTGGTCCGGAGGGGAAGTGGGGATAAGAGGACAGCAGGTGACAGTTTGCAGAAAAGAACATTAAGAACTGAGAATTCACTGAGTGAGATAACCCAAGGACAGCGTCTAGTGATGTCTTTTAGAATCTATGTGTTGAGGGAGCTGAGAGAAGAGGAACGCATTTGGGTTAATCGTCACCAGTGAGGACCCAAGTCTCACGAGGGAAGGAGATGTAAAAAGACAGCCAGATATAACCTTTGTTCAGAACATCTGACTCTCAACATTAGTATTGCCCTTGCCAGTTGGGGAATGTTGAGTATGAAATGCATTGCGATCAGGCCATCAGGCTGCCTTCTGTAGTCATCTGCATTAAACAGTAAAGGCAGGACAGAGCGGGATATAGTATCATTATGCTGCCTCTGAATTTAAAATTGAAATTGACTATGGGGAGGTGGGGAATCATGCAGTGGGGAATCCAGCATTAGAATAATAAGAAAAACTCAAAGCCTATTTTAGGCAATCCTCGTATTTAAAAATTTTAAAAAAAATGTGGAAAGCCTAGGTTATAAAGTCCTTCTTATTCAGTGAAATAAGAAAAGAAATGGAGCGGTAGAAAAAGCAACAAGTGGAAAAAAGGCATTTTAATTATGGGAACTTTTTTTTTTTTTGTCTGTAACTTTCAGTTTTAGCAGCAAAAAAAAGAAAGAATGATTACAAACAAATCAGGATTTACTTATGTGTAATAACAGATAATGAGATTTGACTTCATAATAATACTTAAGATTGAATGTGCAGTAGACTGTGTTGACTACATCTGTCCTGGTTATTTGACATTGGCACAAAGCTTGCTGGGCGAAACCAGGTCAGATAACTGCTACTGCATTGCAGGTGAATCTCAAACATCACACACACATAGACACACACACACACACACACACACACACACACATAGACAAACACACACACACACACACAACTATCTCTCATGATGAATTACAAGCCCATTCAGCAACCTCTGGCAGCCCCTGTCCAGAGATCACTGCCAACAAACAAGCGCTGTGATTGGCTGGAAACCTTGCCCAACAGACCTGTCCTACATTCCTGTTTATATGTCTTGAATTGGAATGTACCTTTTTTTTTGCGGTTTGAGGGGAAATTGAGAAAACTGGCTGTGTGTGTTGGAAAGTAATCATATTACAAAAGTAAACCTAAATCTTTTCTTGTAGGTGCAGTGTGTTACAGTCTTAACTCCTATGCTATGGTTGTCTGGATATCTGACTGTGTGTGTGTGTGTGTGTGTGTGTGTGTGTGTGTGTGTGTGTGTGTGTGTGTCAGAGAGAAAGAGTCAGATGAGAGTCCCGTGCTTAAGGCATGTAGGCACACAGGCGCATGTCCCTCAGCTGCCAAGTGCCTAGGGTGCCTTCTTTCGCATGACCCCCTCCCCCCCTCGGCTTCCACCTCCGTCTGCCAGTCCGAAGGAAACGCTCCTCTTAAGTTGCTGCATCCAGGGCTCTAAGATCAGCGACCTTACCTGCTGCCCCGAGAAACGGCACAACAACAAACACAACCTAGACCAAATCCCACTTCAGAAGTAGAAGGGCACGTCATCGCGGCGGACATAAAACCTGGCTGGAGCAGCCCATGTCAGATAGGTCATGGAGCTATGAATAGGACCTGGAGTAGAAGGAGTATGCAGCAGCTCTGCAGGCTCTAACGTTGCACTGCTGTTTCACAGAACATGGTTCATCCATTAGTGAGAAGCGCAGCGCAGGCCTCGCGCACCTCCCAGCCAAGACAGATCAGAGCTGCTGTCAGATGCAGAGGCAGGGAGATGAAGCTGCGCCTCAGAAACGTGGTGGTAAAGCTGCGAGAAGCTGCACTCCCTGATGAAGCAGCTCGAGTGAAATGTATAGGTCCAATGATAGCACAATGTTTAGGTGAATTATTTATTTTTGTGTGTGTAGCTTTGTCAGCCAATTGAAGGGATTAAGTTT